CTTTTATTTGAAAAAGTCAGTTGCCCTTCACAATGTAAACATTTCATGATGAGTGGACCAAAAAAATGGTCATAAATGATGATTTTTTTCTTCCTCCTTAAAAATCATCATCCATGGTTTTGTTCAATAGTAATTGTTTAATGCAACAAATGCTCAGATTGACTTCTCAGACAGTCCTTGTTGCTCTTCTCTGAAATGGACTCTTTACTAACAAAGGCACCAACAGCGTTTGTCTTCAACCCACTGACGTCTTAAGCAAATAAGTACAAGTGATCGGTTTCCCGACAAAAACAAGAAGAGGAGAAAAACCCAGCAGGAGGTGGGTAACTGAGCTCCCACAGCCAGCGGAAAAAGCTGACATGCTGTAGTCACTGAGGTCGGCCTCTGCGTACCCAGGAAAGAGGCCATGCGTTTATAACACATACTCGCACACTCACACAGGTGAACATGCAGAGAAAATCTGCCTATCAAACTCGGTCCACACCTTTCTGTGAGATTCCGTGCACTAGGGAAGTCTGACGTAAGCCACCACACATACATCAAAAAGCTTCTGCTTCCACTCAGACTCCCAGCGGAGTCTCTGCTTACTGGAAATGGGCTTTTAAAGAGAAAAGAGATAGACATGAAACAACAACAGGAGAGGAAGAACAACAGGAAAGGAAACGCAGTACCATGCAAAGCACTGCAAACTAGGCCTGTGTGTTTAAGCCTATTGTAATCATGATCACGATTTTTTGGCTTCTTTGCAAAAGTCAGTTAACTGGCTAATGCTAGATATCTACAGGCAAAAACCTGTAAGCATAATCCTGCATTTTCTATACTGCCGTATGGCAGTATATTAATTTGGTATCAAATGAATTTACTTATTTTAAGACTAGTTTTGTTTATATTTAGCTTTTGGAAAGTAAAGTGAATAAGGATCAGTTTTATTCTGATTCAAATATGTATACATTTTAAGGCACATAGGCTTATAAAGTACAATGAGAAAGCGATTTAAATTGATAAAAGTATTTGTTCCTATTGGCTGCATAATTGTGATTTCAATACTGAGCAAAAAATAGTAATTATCATTTTAGGCACAATTAGTCCTTAAAGGAATAGTTCAGTAAAACAACAAATTTACAACATTTTCTCCTGAGCTTAAATGTAACCAATTAGCCAAAACATATTTGGTGTTTGAAGTTTGCTTCATTAGTTTTGCAGTGGCGCTATGATGCTAATGTAGCTAAAAAGTAACAGAAGTCTATGTAACCACAATTTTCTATTTCTAGTATTACTTGTATACTTCTATAACTAAACAAGCAAAACACAAAGCAAGTCTTGGCTGACTGTAGAGATAAAAACTGTGTAAATTAGATTTTTTTCCAAACAACTCCTTTAACTACTGGGATCCTCTTTCTGCGGGTGGAAAATCAGAAGCTGACCGAGGAAAGACACCTGACCGGAATATCTTAACGTTTTTCCGGACTTCCGGACAGGTTCAGATTTCCAATCAACACGTGGAATGATGTCACAGTCCATGCATCACACGCTGTACCCGTTCTATATGACTGCTCTCTCACAACCGTACACACAACATGTTTAATATTTCCACAAGGGAGAGCACTATCCTGATTATGTCATGCAAACAGAGATTAGCCGTGGGCAGAGTTCATTAGGGGTTTGCGTGCCACCGGTGTGCTATGCCACAGCTTGCACACTCACAGCTCTAAGCTCCTAATGAATCACAGCCCTTGTTCTCTTTTGTCTTGCTTTTTGCACAGAGCTACAGAGATGACCTCTGCACTTTCATTCAGCTTCATCTACACAGAGGACGTTAAACAGCTGCTGGAATAAACAAATTCACAAACTCCGCCAACAGGATCACAACTGTGACACCATGTTCAGCCAAAACTGTGATAACCATCAGCGATTAATTCAGTTGTCACCTATCACCATCAGCTCAAGCTGTTATGACAACCAGGATGCTTCCTATGTCATATAAACTGATAAAGCTTCCAGAATGTCATTAAACATATCTTGTTTTTTTTGCTGTATGTTTATACATAAGCTGTTGTTGTGGGTTTTGAATGGAGGACATTTTAGTTTCCTTAAGAAAAGTACACTGACCTCAAAATTATAACACTTAATAATAAGAATCATATTAATTCTATTTATGCCAGTCACTGTTGTCTTGTATACACAGACATCCTACATTTTTTTAAATTTCATGAAACTGTATTCCAGATGAAGGCCTCCACAGAATTGTGTAGATTTCAAAGGAAATGATGCACTGAACGGAGGGAGAAAAGCCTCTGCAGACTTAGCTCAAGCCTACGAATGAGTCATCATTATCTAACGACTCTATCAATGCACAGAAAGCACTTAAAGACTCAGAAATCACTGCAGTTGACAGGCTGGTTTTGAGCACTTTCTAATAGCAAAATCCAGTAACACTTACAGTGCTACGTCTGCAAGTTTTGGTTACAAACTAACTAAAACCCTAAAATGGAAATTCCACTGATTTTTTTAAGCCAAAACATTCTCAAAACCTGTAAAGTAATATCTCAGTCAGCGTATTCGGAACCATTTCATATAACAACTTTATGTTACATCTGTGTAAACTCTTCAGATGTCTGGTTCCTGTCACCGCCACTATGAACAATTCTGGTAAGTGTCTCTAGAACAGCGCATCACACATCAAAATACTCACAATGATTTGATTTTTTTAAATGATTTTTCTTAATGATCAAATTATGCAGAAATTTTGAAAAATCTGAGGAATTCCCCTTTAAATGGCCAGGAACTTTTGGCAGGTCTGGGGTTCCAACTCACTTCTATAACTTAAGAAAAACAGTTTGCACTGTTTTTCATGTAGTTACTGAATAATAAGCCGCGGGATAGACCAAAACAGTCACTGTTTCCAAAGCAGACAGGAGCCAGATTCCAAATCTAATGTTATTAGGGCTGTTATGATTACTTGATTAAACTAGATTACTACATTTTGCAAAGGTATCAATAACATTTTTCCTTCTCAATTAATCAATCATTGATGATCAGTTGGCAATTTGCATACTGATGCATATTTCAAATTCTCCTACTAGTCTCTCTTAAGAAACAGAGCCTGACAGACACATCCCTTTAGGTGCATTTCTCCAAACAGCACATCTATATGTACAGTACTGTACACATGTTCTTCATTTATTTCATTTCTCATTAAAAAGGCCATTAAGTACACATTATTTATTTATAGTTTATTTTTCTTGATAGCTACACATCCTTTCAGACTCATAATGTTGAGTTGTCTTCTCACAGTGGAAGGATGGACAGAAACACCTGTGGATTTTTTCAGATCTGAAGCAAGAGTGGAGCTTGATCTAAAATGGATCTAAAAAAAAGTGCTGTTTATCTGATGGTGACAGTTTCGGTGATCTAGCAGGTCTTGCATGGTTGTTAGGAGTCCCATTTTCTCTGGATCTTTTCATTCTTTTTTGAACTCCATTTTTGGAAACTCCTGTTTTTTCACTTATTTTCCTTTAACTTTCCCCTCCCTTATGCAAGGTGATTATCCAATCTCTTCAGAAACATCTGAAAAATGAATATCTTGCACTCAACAGCCGTTTTGTTGGGAAATTAAATAAAAAAAGGCTGGCTTTATCTTGTTCTAAGAAAGTATTCTGTAATCTTTGAAAGCATGCATGGTTTGTTATCAGTCTAATTCCTTTAAAATCATCAACATAATTGGTATATTACTCTATTACTAATATAATCAACAGTGACAGCCTTAAATATAATAATATGGAGAAAACAACTGTTGGCATTAACGTTATAAATATCTCACTCTCATATGTGAAGGAGGCTGATACAACAGAGTACTGCATGACTATAATAATGCTAAAGTGGCGGCGCTAGTTAGAGTCCCAGCAGTCTGTTATATATTCAGATATAAATAACTGATTTATGGTCAGTGTTTCCAACACATGCTGTCTATGCTCTGCTCTCGGCTCTGTCTGTATACACTGTGTTCCTGGGCTCGGGGGGAATATGTGCCACGTCCCAAACAAACTGTGTACTCTGGGAAGCGAACTTTCTTGAACTCATTAATGGAGAAGATGTACGTGTCTTACAAGGTAGTATTATTTCCTTAGAAAAGCCTTCTACATTCTGAGCTAATCCCTTGTTTAAGACTGGCACAGCAAAGCCACGAAACCCACACCGAAAAACGCAAATGGAGAAGCAGCGTTTAGCTACTGTCCTGCTCTTAAAAGGAACAAGTTGACAGAAAGCATTAGAACAGCCCTGACAGCAGACACTTTTAAATCCAGCCTGAAAATGTTCGTGTTTAAGCAGGCTTTCAGCTCAGTTTGAAACACTGTTAGCAATACTGCACTTCTCTCCTGCAATGGCACGCTGTTATCTTCATTTCATTTTTTATTTAATGTTTAGTTCTTCTCTTTTAAAACTACTAATGTAATTTCTATTCTCTTACAACTTTTTAAATTTTAATCTGAATTATCTTTGTATTTTCCTATTTGTAAAGCACTTTGAATGACCACAGTGTATGAAAGATGCCATATGAATAAACTTAGCACATCAATTTTAGTCCGCTTTACATTTTTCACCTTCAGTAACATCTACAAGCCTACACTTGCCTTAAAACAGAGCCACCCTCAAACGCAAGAGGCTAACTCTCAGGGGGTTCCATACCATTAACATTATAGCATTCAACCACAGCTACGCAGACTATATGTAGCCCTGTACTGCACTGCAGTCCATATGACACTTGGACTGACTTGGAGACCCTAATTTTAACTGAAGCCATTAGATAACCCATATCTATCTCCATCCGAGACAAGAGAAAGCTGATTATTGTAGACTAAGGGGATCATACCAACCCTTATCCCTCATATTCAGATAACTCAAACAAGACAAGCGCCATGCAGGTATACATAAGGATAGCAGCAATTATTCTTTCCATAGCAATATTGTACAGAAGACAGTAAGAAAACCATGTTACTTACTCCATCGGTTCAGCAGGCTATTCATGTGCATTCTGGCCAGGTGAGTGGATCCAGGTTAGCTTCGTTTAGCAGCAGCTAAAAGAGACCACATAATGCACAGAAAGACTGAAAATAATGTAGCCTGGCAGCAAGACCAGCAAAACGTGTCTACTATCAGGGAGAAGATGGCTTCGTTTTCTTTTAAAATGCTAAAGCATGTAGATAAACTTTACTAAAATTAATAAAGTATTTCAAATAGGAGTGACCATCCTTCAACACATGATCCCCTTAGTCTACACAAATAAACAGAGCTAACACCGCAGCATTGTATTCATTGTGTAGAAGGGAAAGAAAGCGCTGATAATGTAATTTGACATTAGTAACGTTATGTTGCAAATAACCGTGAAACAAACTTAATACATATTCATATCTTACTTAAGACTTGCACGTTTAACGAGGCTGAAGTTGGCTTCCCATTCGTCAGCTTCTTGTTAGCAGTTTTCCGTTCCACCTTAAATTCTGAGCGCAGCCGGAGGTGCCAGAAGGTAACTGCTGCATCATTTAAGGTGGAACGGGAAAATTTGTATAAGAAGCTGACTGTAGCTTCGTTTATGTTTACGAGTCTAACACTCGCCAAAAACTCTTTAAATGGCCAATATCTGTCAAATATATACTCACATGAACACGGAGGCTGCCTGAGAGTTTGGGAAAACTCGCTCCTTTTGCCAAAAACCGTATTTTTCTTCAGTCACTTGGTGAATCCGCGCACTCGCAACGGCTGCCGAAGTTCTGTGTTGTTGATCTGGGTAAATGAGCTGCCCGCGCGCGCACGCTGTGAACTCGCGCACACGCCGACATCCAATCAGCAGCGAGCAACTCGGAGGAGCTCCAGTCGGATCGGTTGCCTTGGGAACGCGCGAACTTCAGAGCTCGATCAGATCAGAGATCGATCGAGCGGCGTTGCCAGGTTACAAACGCGCCAACGTTCCCAGGCAAACTCAGGTGGGTAGAAACCAGTGACTGTATATAACAGTTAATATTACACATAATACATACACACAGTCGCATGCAAAAGTTTTGGCACTCCTGGTCAAATTACATGTGTTCTAAGTGAAAATAAGCTAATACAACTTCCTCTACAGAGAAGACACGTCTGCAGGTTTAACGCAGTTTATTTGCTGAAGATAACATAATTGAATATAACTTAAAAAATAGAAACTGTGCACTTAAATTAGCAGAAAAACGTTAGAGGAGGATGTGTTAACTTATTTTCACTTTTCAAAAAGGCAACAAAACGTGAAACTTGACCAGTTCTGTTCAAAATGTTGCCTACAGCTGTGAACAGTCATTTGCTGTAACTAGTTAAGCTACACTTACTCAGTTACACACAATTAAGTACAGATTTTCTTGGATTTGTATTTCTGGAATACTCTGGAATCAGAGGCCTAGTATTATTACTTATAATATTATAACTACACTATTATTGTTTCAAGCATTTTAGGAAAAGCCATGTTTTTTTTTTAGTTTAGTTCAAAGAGGGAAAACTCCTTTGCTGTAAATTAAGACTTAATTAAAAGTCTACATTTTGACTCCATGTATATGTTCTTGTGGTGCTGTGTATAATTTTTGTATTTATCTGTAAAATGTACCAAAATTTTTTGTTTAGCTCCATCACAGCACTGTAAACTATATATTACATATTAACTATATATTATTTGTAATTATTAATGAAATTATAAACATGAATAAAATGACCAAATCCTTTGCATGGTGCCTGCAATATCAACACAGAAATACATATTTGATAAAAATGGGATTTAACAGTGGCACAACTCACTTAAAACATAGTGTATTTCACTTTTCTAGCCTAAGCACTTTCATATACTTTTGCTCATGCAAGGATTTTAATTTTTTATTAATTTTTTGGGGTTTCATTTGATTTCATTCATTCATTCTGTTGGTTCAGCACCTGGACTACTTTGCTGATCTTTTATCTGCCAGCTTCGGCATTTTATTTTACACCAAAAAAGCCACAATAAATAGAAGAAAATAACAAAAGGAACTTTATGCTGATAGATGCTGGATGTTTTAAGATGTTTCCTCTGCACTTGTTCAATGTAAAGAATTCACATCTCTGGCACCCTCCAGTGGTCCCCCACTGAAACTCAGCAGTCAAATAAAAATGAACACTTATGGTCACACTTAGGACCACAATAGAAAATGTGTTTCAGTCTCACTGAAGAGTGTATCTTGTACACAGTGCAGATCAAAATGGAACTTGTTAAGCTTCAAATAACATGAATTCATCAGAAAAATCATCTGGAAAAGTAACTTGAAGAACACATTTAAACAAAACACAGCAAGAGTAAAGGCAACGTTAATTTATTCAAATAATGAACAAGATACAATATGTATAGAATGATCAACGGTGATGTAACTGTGTATCCCGTATCAACATGCTTGGAAATCGAGTGTCATGATATTGATGGCATGCAGTTATGTTCATGTAAACCGTCACTACAGTGGCTAAAACCTACTCGCTTAAGTGATATGGACGCCGATATCCTAGCCCTTCAGGTAAAACTGGGCACGTACCATGAAGAAAAAAGCTTAATATTTATACTATACAAATACAAATATCATACAGCATTCTTGTTTTTTATTTTTTTTAACATATATATTTAAATTCAAACCTTGCAGGCGATCTCAGTCTACTCTGAGGTCAGTTCAGAAGGTGTGAGCTTGTGCATGCAGGGAAGAAATTAGAACGAAAGCTCTTCAGTTGGTGCCTTTTTAGTGAAAAGTATAAGAGATGTTCTAATTAAATGTCATTTTTAAATTTAAAAATCGAATTCAGATCGATCTAAATTTTGCTGACATTTGTGTTCTTCTGTTAGGTCCTCAATATTCAGTTCTATTTAAAGGGTAGTAGCCTGTTTTTTCCTCCGAAGGGTTACTGAAGCTGTTGTCATATAACAGACATTTAAAGGAGAATTCCACTGATTTTAACACATTTCTGCATAATTAAATCAATAAGATGTAAACACAGTCAGTCAAAGTGTTTTGATGTGAAATGCTCCATTTTTAGAGAAACTGCAGGGACAAAATTATTCACAAGGGGGGTGACAGGAACCAGACATCTGAAGAGTTTGGCACCTCCAAAAGCTTCCACAAAGGAAATAGTTCTGGATATGTTGCCTGATGCCTGAGACATTGTTTTATGAATGTTTTGAGATACGATTTTGGCCTAAAACATAATTTCAAATGCCTTTAAAGAGAAGCAGGAAATGCAGGGTGTTGTAAGGCAAATTAATACCCATTATTTTTTTTAAACCATTATTTTTTATCAACGTTACATATAAAACTCAACATGTTGACATTCATACAGTTTCTCTACAATGAACCATTTCACTCCAAATCACTCTGAATGACTTTATATCTCAGTGATTTAATTCTGCTGAATTTTTTAAAAATTGATGCAATTCCTCCTTTAATTTTTTCCTCTTCCTTTAAAATACCCCCTTATAGATCCTGCTATTATATGTACATGTTCTGAACACTGGCGTTCATGCATATATCAATTGAGAATACATGTTCCAATGGGACTTCATGGGTTTTCCCCTAAAATAACCAACATCCAACACAACAAACACAAGAGACTGACTGACTGACTGACAAGGTCTGGAACTGCACCACAGATCGAGATTTCCGTATGCATAGTAAAAGTTCAAAAAAACACAGACACATCCAGCTCGGAGAATGACCCTCAAAGTACAGCAGAGCCGACATGCAAGAAGCAAAGCGCAGAAAGCCAAAGGAGCACAAGTGGCTTCACCTGCTTGTAAACTCCAACCCTTTGGCTGTACATTCAAAACACGCTCGTGCTGAATCGCTCCTTAACGTGTGGAAGCATGAACTGTGTTCTCAATATCATTTTGTGTGAGTCACAAAGGAAGTCTTGTGGCAGAAAGCACCACTCACAAACACGTTGAACTACATCTAAATCGTGGGAAAAGGGGCCAAAACACAAGAGCTCACTGACTGAAGTGCACATTGAAGAAAAAAAACTCAAGAGCTTTGGGCAAATTAGACTAAGATCAAAAAAAGCATGTTACTACAATGCTCTTCCATTTCTACACTACTGTAGGACTAGAATAACTTAGCCTATCTCAGCTCTACAGTATCAAAACTCTAACTGTATGCTGATGAAATGTAAGGCATACATTTGTGTCCAAAAGAGTTCAACAAGTGACAAGTCATGCATAGATTGTAAAAGTTATTGTCTTTTCTAAAAAAGAAATGCAATCTATATGCCTGATATTGAAATGTCAATAACTAATACACTTTCACCATGACAACTTTAAGATGCACCAGTATGTATTATTTTGGTCATTCTACATACAAGTGTTTGTAAAATTACAGTAAAGGACCGTGACCTTCACGATAAAAAGGTTCACATTGATAAAAGTCTGAAAAAGCTATCACAAAGCCAATTATTTTGGTATACCCTAACAGGCTGGGTAATCCCTAAATGAGTAACCTACTATCTGAAACATGAGATCATGCCACTACTTGAATTCCCTCTGTGTAAAAAAACAGTAAATAGTTTAAGAATTGTATAACCTAGCCCATTAGCTAGTGCGTATACGTTATAATACACACCCAAAGCTCTGTGACCTTAACACGCACACATGCACACATACAGTATCTGCATTATCCCTTAGATATCACCCTGAATAGAGTTAAAGAGTCATAAAAACGTCCTCACAATGAAATATGTTCATTGGTTGGTTGGCGATTTTTTTTAAACAATATTTTTTGCGTTATCACAACTGATGCTGTCCTCTATTGCTCCATAATTCAAACAATTATGCAGGGAGGACTTAAAAACAAATGGGATATAATTTTTTGTAGAACTGAGCATGTCTGCTGATGAGAATCTTATTCTTTTTACATATTCATGCCGTGACTAGGCCTGGGCGATATCTAAAAATAATATTTTATTGATTGAAAAATCAGGATTATCGATAATATCAACCCCCTCCCCACATGGGAAACACACCTACACGCTGCACTTTAGCTTATGTTCTTTTTTTAATGTCACCTAATCGTATAAAAATCTCTCATTTTCCATTTTTCTGATTATTGAACGAGTCAGAATTGTTTACAACGGTGTTGACAGGAGCCAGACATCTGAAGGGTTTAATGCTTTTAAAAGCCACCTCACAAAAAGCTATTACCTGAAATAGTTAGGAATATGCAGCCTGACGTCTGAGATGATATTTAACAAAGTTCTGAGAAAAGCTTTTGGCCTGAAATGTATTTTTTCAAATCTGTTCCCAAAGGTACAAGCAGGCTGTTGTACGGAAAAACAGAACCCAAAGAAACTTGTAATAATGCGGCCCCTAGTTCTTATCATCACCACCGTAAAGAAATGTGCCGAAGAAGACGGTAGGTTTCTCTACAATGCACTTCACATTCGACCACTCTGAATAACTTTGTTCACATCTTAACAGTTTAATTCTGCCGGGAATCGCCCTTGAAATGATGAAGATAAAAGTGACTAATTGAGTGTCCACATGCTTTACATCAGAGGTGGGCAATATGACGATATTTAATTGTAACTGTGATCATTTTTTAGCATGATACACAATATGAATTTCTGAGCACACTGTCACTGTCATCAGTATTTAAAGAACATTGACAAGCTGCATGTTTCATTACAAAGAGAACATAATTAGAAATGTTTAATTAGATTTAGTACAGCACAGTATGTGAAATGTTGAATACTAATCACTGTATTTTTAGTTTTTGATTGTAGTTTTTAAATGCGACACATTTTGCCAGTGTCAAAAGTTTGTGATGCGTATCGTGTATTGTGAAAAGTATTCTGATACTCTGATACTTTTTTTTTCTGGAGATGCTCTGGGATTCATCATAGATACCTGTGGGAAACCATAAAATATTGTACTTTTAGATTTAATTCATCTGAATCATCAAGATGCTAAGCTGTATGGTAAAATTTCTTTGTAGGGTAAGTCGCACTCTGGGAAACCCCCAGCAGATAGAGGAAAATTTACTGCAGCATAGTCTACTTATTAATGCCCCATAATAATCCATTGTTTTAATAGTAAAAGGGAGCAAAACATTACAGGTCAAAATCATTTAAAACTATTCTTCTGTAGTTCTCTGTCAGTTCTCTTTCCCAAAATGTCAAAGCATGGTTGTCAGTTTACTTGTCAATCATCACTGATTCCCTGTTACTTCACCCTATCGCCCAGGCCAAGCCTTCACTTGAATAAAGCGTCTATGAACGATAAGTAATTTCGTAGTTTTCTTTTTCCCTTTTCTCCCTTTTCATATCAACACCTAACAGTAGTCAGAACAATGACTTTCAAACAGCCTGTCATTCTAAACCGCATGTTGAGGGGGCTGCTTCAGTAGTTAGCATTCACTTATCCTTATTTCTACTGCAGTGCCGCCCCCGCTACAGTGAAAGTGCAAGCACAACCTCCAAGCTAGACAGGAGGAAAAAAACCCACACACACATCCACGCACACACACGCACGCACACAAACGTAAGGAAGAGTAGGTCCTGAGAGCAGAGACCTGACTGACGGACATACAGTGCATGCTACTGTAGGACTGTACAAATGATGCATGCATGGCGTGGGCGAGCAGCCCCACATCAACGACTGAGAGCCGGGAGCCCTTCCTGGAGTCCATGTCCCAGCTACACGTCCACATCCTGGGAATCTTGAACCCTTCCAATCCCCCACCAGTCCACTTCCCAGGTGGAGAGTGTTTGATGCTAGGCCCTTCCAGTGCTGCTAGCGAGGCCTGAAGCGTCAGGAAAGCACTTCATCCTCGCCCACAAAGGGCAGGTCCATGCTCCTCATGCCTTCCCCGCTCTCCTGTTTCCTAGGAAACGGACAAATGTGGTATTTTAAAATATCCACACATTCCAGGCAACAGTACCAGTCAAAGGCTAGGCAGACTGTAAGTTTGGTATTAGTTGTTACATGTTAGAAAAACAATGGAACGATAAGAGAACAGGGCTGTCACTATTTATTATATCAGAAATCAAGTAATCTTCTGATTATTTTTGATGCTCAATGGATTTAAAAGGGAATTCCAACAACTGTTCAGAATTTCTGCATAATTCAATGGTTGAGGTGTAAACGAAGTCATTCAGACTATTTTGGGGTAAAATGGTTCGTTGTAGAGAAACCTAACGACCCAGATTTCTTCACAGTTGTCGTGATAGGAACCAGGGGTTGCGATGTTTACAACAAAAATATATCCATATTTGTTACTATCCAAAATGGCCAGTGAACATGCATCTACATGTACATGTATCTTCACATTTTTTTTATGTAATGTAAGCTTAAGTCCAGTAATATAACAACGTCATGTTACCATTACCATCAGCTGTCATGACAGCTAACTAGAGCAATAAACCACAAATGAGCATGTGACATAAACTGTCACATCATCAAACATTATCACATCTGTCATGACAATTACCAGCAATAATAACATGACAATTTTATATCACTGCACATTATCTGTCATTACAACTCATGAAATCATATGACATCAGCTATGACATGTTTAAGGCATGGTTATGCCAATGTTAAGTAGAAGGGCTCAAAGAAAAGTATTACGAAGATGTCTTTGATATAGTTTTGATTATGTCTGTTTCATTGTGTAAATGTAAAGGCGTAATGTTATAATGATAAAATATGTATATATTTCTATGCATTATATGCAATGTTGATAATGATAAAATAGTGTTAAATAAGTTTTTGGGGACTATTTTGCCTTATAACATCCTGCATGTAACTAACTCATTGACAAATAATGCATTTAGAAAATACATTTTAGCCTAAAAGCTTATCTCAAAACTACAGTAAAACAATGTCTCAGGCATCACACAGATTTTTATGAACATTTCATGTAATTGCTCTCTGTGAGGTAGCTTTTAGAGGGATTAAACTCTTCAGACGGCTGATTCCTAACACCACCAGTGTGAGCAAATTACAAAACAGAAGTTTCTTTAGAAAAGAACATTTAAACTCAAATTACAGTTACTGACGTTGTTTACATCTTAACCATTTACATTATGCAGAAACTTTGAAAAATCGGTGGAATTTCTCTAACTTTGCACAGCCTTTCATGGATTCTAAAACATTTTCATGGAAAAAGATAAACTAAAAAGTCTATAAAAAGACTTCTTTGAAAAACATACAAAACAATGTGTAAAAATGCATTTAAATGGCTATTATAGGAAAGACCAGTAGGAGAATTTCAAATGTGCATTATGATTATGCAAACCATAGCCAAAAGGACATTTTAAATGTATATTTTTTTAATATTGTCTATTTTTATCAAGTAATCGTGACAGCCCTACACCATATTTGTTATACACTCAGATCAGAGGCAGAGACATGAAAACATCTGACTGGCATGTCCTTAGGGAGGGCAGACTTGTAGCACTGCATGCAGAGATAAATTAGTGCAATAAAAAACACACAGAACTGAAACATTTCATAAAATGGCAAGAGGCAGTTGAACTGCAAGTCAGGATGCTCTTCACTCTCAACCACTTCTTAAGGATTCATTGACAAAGACTGGCATGCAGCGACAGGCCTGGGAAAGAACATCTTGAATTGCCCACATTCTAGACATATAGAGGCGTGCCTCTGATCCAAAATTATGCACATTAAAAATATCACATGCAACGTATGAGTATAAACCGAATGGAGGTTACAGAGTTTACTGTACATAACATGAGCTCAGTGGGTAGTTTTAAAAGCCATCTGGCATCGTTACATCTATTGTATCACATCTAACATGAAAAAAGCTCTTGCTCTGAAAACATTAGCGTGACATGCTGTAGAACTATATTTTCATTCATTTCATTTGCATGGTCATTAAAATGGTCATGATTAATTCCTTGTTGGAGGGAGCAGGTGGAGGGCTAGCAAGCCAGCAGTTTTTTACCTTTGGTTACCATGAATGTAGCAGTATTTCAAATTCCCTGCTCTCCCTTTTCTAGAGGGCAGGAGAGAGGGAAACACCACAATGAAAATCTGCAGCCCACTATATATAAGGGAGACTTAATATAGATCTACACACAGGATGTAAATAAAATCTCAGGAAGCACTTATGTAACTGCACTAAATTTCATCGTTTTTATTGTGTAAAGTGTCTCTAACACTTTACTCGAATCCTGCTATATAATACTGACATTAGCATGCCATAAACATGTTGTTATGTTGTTGTGACAAATGAAGTCCAGTAATATAGCACTGTCATGTTACCATTACTGTCAACTGTCATGCCAGATGTAATAATGCTATGCTGTCATGACAGCAGACTTGAGTACACAGCAAAAAATGAGCATGTGACAAACTGTCATGACATCAAACATTATTACATCTATCACCATTATAACCACAATTGCAAGTGGTAGTCACATGACACCATTAAATTACTGGACATTATCTGTCATGACAACTCATGACACTGCATGAAATCTGCCAGCCATGTTTATGGCATTGTTATGTCAATGTTATGAGGAAGGGCTCACGTAAAGTGCTGCCTAGATGTCTTTGACAGAGTTTTGATTATGTGCGTGTTGTTAGTGACAATGTAAAGATGTGCTATGTTGTTCTAAAACAAACCAAATAACCAGTCCATTCCCAAAGGCCTATTAGGTTACTTTACATTATTAAGGTGTTCTCAAATTAATTTAAGATCATCAAGCCCAATTAAACAGCTTCCCTTTGATACAAATGTCCAGTAAAAATGCTAGTTTACTGTGGGCTAACTCATTCAAATCTGTGCTTATCATCTCTGTAACAGTGTAGAAAGGCAAGCAGAGCCTTACGTGAGCGTGTGTCCCTGTGTGGTTGGGCTCCTATCCTCCCTGCGGCCCCAGTCAAAGGGGTTTCCAAAGGATCGCTTCCGTAACATGGTCCTCACAAGGATCTGCAGAGTTTACCACAGTCATTTTACATTTCACATACAAAGTCTGGATGCAAAGGTGTAAATATTTGACAATTTGAGTAAAAAACGATGAAATACATCATAAACTCTCAAATCCAAATTTAGATTCAATTAAATTTGATTCTTTTTGATTTAGTATTAGTTACAAAATGCATTGTATACACAAATGTTAAAACTGCTCATACAGTCATGCAATGCATACAATCATACAATAAAAACAAAAAACCTTATTCTCTGCCTAATAATTTCATTAAGTGCCATATTTCAGTGCCATATTAGTGCCTAATATTTCAATTTTAAAATTGCAAGAAATTAGCATTTACTTTATTATTAGTATTAGTGATTCTAACATTCCAAAATCTGTGCGTGGCCACCATGTGATTGATGTATAATGTTACATCAAATTATTTTTTAATCCTCATGTGCATGTCACTCAGCATTCTGTTCACACGTATTTGTCCTGGTACTACAGATAAGGTACTGTAAACGTCTCAGTGCTCACCACTGTGGCCAGACTGGGGATGTGCTTAACAGAGTTCTCCACCTCCTCCTCCGTCACCTCGATTAGACTGCAGCAGTTGTCATCCTCAGGAGGAAGGGGCTCAGCACCATGCCGTGTCACCCAGGGGTGTACCTACAAATCCACCAGAGACACTGCTGAACTACTGTTGCACATAAGGCAACATAAACAGCAAGAGACTCTGACAAGCATGTGCATAACAGGAGGAGAAACACCTAAGTCTTGGCGTTTAAGTCTGGTGTATTTAGTTTAGTACTAAACATTTCCAGTTTCCCCACTACGCCAATAAACATGCCAGTAAAAGGTTTACTGACACTCACCTTAATTTGTGGCACAGTTATTCTGGTTTCAGGATTTTTATCCAGCATCTTAAAAAGTAGGTCCTTCAAATCATCAGACACATCTGCACTGTAAATGGTTAAGAACACTGGGTCAGTGACCTTTTGAGGCAGAGACAGAGAGCAAGAGATCGTGATCATAAATACTTAAAGACTTACTGCTCTGGCAGTTCCACTGGCTGAGTCTTAATCTTCTGATGCAGACTCAGTATGCGCTCATCCATGAACGGACACTGCAGGAGATACAGGTATTGACAGCTTTTACAATCCAATGATCAGAGCTACTTACTGCATCAATGACACAGTCAGCAGTGTGAGATGAGAACAGAGTCTTACCACGCCAAAGACAAAGCAGTATAATGTGACTCCCATTGCCCAAACATCCAAAGCCTGAAAAGCAGATCATATTTTAAGAGTCATAGTTGTATTTAAATTTCTTCTGTGTATTCTGTATTAGCTTACTAATGTAAAAACAAGATATAATATTGCAACCTCAATGCATACACTATAAAAAGTGGCAAATGAAACCATCGTAAATCTGTGTATATATCCAATATTTCTCTAGATTGTTTTAGAAATAATACTAGATTAACTTCATCATTTTTTAGTTTATTAATAATTCCAGTATTTCTTTGAATAATTAACATTATCTGCAAAGAGAATAAGACAGTTTAACTAGATAAAATTATTTAAAACAAATTAAAGAATCTAGAAATGAGTTGAATAATCTCATATTCTTACAATAATCTCATAATAAGAAAGAGCAGATCTACTGTCTAGATTTTAGAAGCTTTCATTTGCCAGTATATGTATTATGTATTTTTTTTTTGCCAAGTATTAATTTGCCAATTAACCTTGCCAGAGAAGTTCTTGCGGGTCTCAGAGAGTGTCTCTGGAGCAAGGAAAGCAGGCGTTCCTACTGTGCTGGTCAGCAGTGCGTCCGCTCCCTCAAACTGGTTGCTGACCCCAAAGTCAGCAATCTTAATATGTCCATCCTCCCCTACCAGCAGATTAGACGGCTTGATGTCCCGATGGATGATTTTCTGATAATGTACTACAGGGAGTGAGAGTGCCTTTAAATGTATGACACATGTTAAAAATAGGAGACAGTCATTTAAGATAAAATTAGACAGTCATCAACATTAAAGACAACTAAATTAAAAATACACCTTATACTCAAATCTTTATTTCACTGTCAAACACACAGAATTTTTGACAAGTACTGTGTCAAAGTCATTTCTGAACTCACAGTACTCAATTCCTCTCAGCAGGTCCTGAAAGTAGAAACGGGCCTGGTCCTCATTCAGTGGTTTATCAGTCGGAACCTCCATCACTGCACTGTAAACACACAAAGACAATATATCTGAGTGACAGTGAAAGTTAAAAAAATAATATATGGAAATATTGATACTTGGCAAAAGTCAGAGACCACCCTTTATTCATTTAAGTTCCAGTCAAAATGGTCATGTTTTTCATTTTTCAGTGTCAGGAAGTAAAACTGACCACATATTAAACATAAAATTACACAGAAGCCTCAACAACTAAATAAAATATCTGTTTTTTTTAGCACTTAATGTGTCAATCATTTGCCTTTATTACAGCATCCATTCTTTTCAGAACACTTGCTGTCGTTGGCTGCATTTTCTGCTTCTCACAAACCCAAGTAGTCCCAAACACATTCAGTGATGTTGAGGTCTGGACTTTGGGATGGTCAGTCCATTGTTCTGAGGACATCAGCCGTCCTTTTCTCAGTAATGGCTTCTTGACAGCTACACATTCTTTTAGGCCCACAGTTTTGAGTTGTCTTCTCACAGTGGAAGGTTGGAGAGATACACTTGTGGATTTTTTTGATCTGGAGCAAGAGTGAGGCTTGATTTGAAAGCTTTAAGCACAGTGTATCTGATGATGACAGGTGATGGTCTAGCCAGTCTTGAGTTTCATTTTCTCTATATCCCTTTTTCTATGCAGGTACATCATCTTATATCAATTCTCCTTAGAAAAATCAGCAGGAAAATTAATAACATCTGTATCTAACAGTTGTTTTGATTGGAAATTAAATAAATGAAGGGTGATAAATTTTGCACAGCGCTGTATATCGAAATCCTACTCACCCTTGCTTGACCAGCTCAAATACTGTGAAGAGAAGATGATCAATGTTGGAATAAGAACAATGTTGAATTGAAGTGTAAGACAACCAACATAAAGCACAGAAATTTATGTAGCCTTACTTACCCATGTATAGATGGTCTTCACTGGGGTCATCCAACACCTACACACAAGAAACAGCAGCAAATTCAGCATCCAAGAAACCTGAGAGAGGGACTACAGATCACATGCATAAACACATACCTCGACCAGCTTGACCACATTAGGATGGTCCAGCTTCTTGAGGATGGCGATTTCCTGGTACACCCGCTCCAGAGGGCCTTTGGGCTGAGGCTGGCCCTCTGGGGCTGATTTGGCCCCTCTGGGAGGAGGTCTTCCTGTATAGCCAGAATACGCAGAACCAATGATTATCTGAGGATATGAGATTTAGCTCATCTCCAAAATATGCACACACACACTCACAAACACACATACACCCTACTGAGCTGTCCATCTGCTTTACGGCAGACACTTACGCGGGAAGCCAGCCTGTCTCATCAGTCGTTTCTTGGACAGAACTTTCATGGCCTGCGGGGGGAGAGGGGGAGTGAGAATGAGGAAATAAGAGCAGATACCCAGTGTCAGTGCTGTGTGACATATGCACCACTCTGCACTTGTAATTCAGGGTAAGTTATATATATTTACAGTGTGTCAGGGGCTATTTGATCATGCAATAACCACCCAACTTCATGGTAACAGATGCAATAACCAACCAAATTAATCAACTATGCACAGCAGGATTGTGCCACTAGCAGTATATCAGCAATGCTATGTCTGCTCATGTGTGATAGACAGGCCATCATTTATTCATACTGCTCTTATAGCAGTATGGCAGACTGTAAAGTCTATCTGTTCTTAACAGCTATTTTTGCAGGTATTTGGGCACCTTGGAAACATGAGCCCATAGAAAACAACAGTGAAAAAAAGGAAGAACTGCTCCACAGTCAACATAATGTTAAATTGGAGTGATACCACAATGCATGTGATTAGCCCAGGGCTTAATTTGCCCCAGAAAACTGAGTAGTGATGAATCACACAAGTCAATTGGGAAGGGGGAGGTCCCAGGAAAAAAAAAAACAAGCAAGGGTTTCCCGTAACTTTGGATCTTACAACCAACCTGTGTGTTAACGAGGCTCTTGAGCTTTGAACGAATGTTCTCTCAACAAAGATTGTGAGCAGTTAATAAATGGATGTCACAAGCAGTGGCAGTGGTGTAATTGGGTGTACAAACAGTACAAACAGTTATCCAACTCTGAAAGCGGCTCATTAAATCTGAACACAGAATAACATTTAGTAAAAGAAAAATCACAAGCAAGTTATACTGGACACTACTGTCCAAAGCAAGTTTAGATTATTTTTTTCCGTTATGGGTTCTGAGTTTTGTCCATTTTTGTTTGTTTTGAGGTTAATGCTTAGCAGACACATAATTATGGTTAAGTCATTACTTTTCTGAAGCCATCAGCCTGTTCGACATTTTACGACATGTTGAATTGTTTGAAGAAAAGACTATTAGTAATTTTAAACAAGGTGCCGGATCCACTAAAACAGCTGTGGGTTCCAATCTGGGACGTGACGAATCCGGATTCAGCTTGTTCCGGCATGAATTAAGCCGTGGTTTAGCCTGTGTTTTGCTGTTGCCAAGGAATGTTTTGTCTCCAAATGGTGTTTCCAAACCATCCAAAAGTAACTGGACTCAATAGCTGCATTCGCTAGCTTTTTCATGCATCTATCTATATCTATATTTTATGTAGATGTCGCCATATTTCAGACCGAATATTTTTTTTCTATCTTGGTATCACTACTATTCTTGTCTAGTTTTTTTCTGGGCTTGTTGCTTCGATAATAAGTTTGTTAATATCGTCAGTTTCTTCATTTCGGACTTCTTCACTTACGCTGGCCATCAACTGAAAGAAGCCAACAGCAACCTACACACATGCATGAGGCCATGCAAAGACATCATATATTCACAATTCCATAAAATCGGTTTATGAACATTTGAAGGACAAGAATTAAGCCTTACATTAACAATGCTATTACAATAATATTAATTACATCAATTGTAAAATTGTGGATTTCAGCAGTTAATAACTTCCCCTAGGCTAAGAACTCCATCGGTTCACTGCCACATTGTTGTGCTCTGGCATCCAGTGATCCCCAAAATGTATAAGTGCCAACAAATTGTTGTTATTAAAAAATGACACTCATAACATGGTATGTATGTACATGTATTATCTGATATATGTAGTGTTTTTTTTAAGACAGTGTCATGATAGCACTGCAAAGGGTGATGAAACGGTTAGGTAATTACTGTGATATGAAACTTTTATACTGCCACATGCTTATGAAAAAAAACAAAACAAAACAAAAAAACACACTGCTTACTGAACTATATGTTCACTGCTAATATCGTCCTAAAGCATAATTTTTGCTCCATTTTAGCATGGTGACAGTGTGACTGCAGCTTAATTCTTCATAACATTTCTAAAGGTACGAGAACACAGAGACATGTGGAGAGAGGGATGTATGGCACTTACATAGTAGGTGTTGTCATCCTCATTATAGGCCAGTTTGACAACTCCGTAGGAGCCCTTGTTTTAGAGAATGAATAGAGGCAGAGGTGAGATACAGTTTCACTAAATGGAGACTAACACTGATATAATAGAAATATAGTAAAGTGAATCTTTTGCTACACTGGCCAAGCTTTTAACCATTATTTTATTCAACTGTGGAGCAGCAATCCAAACCTAGACAGCCAAAAACAATCTCCGATAATGGCTGTGTCTCATTTCTGGATAATAGCAGACACAGCCTTAGTTATCTTTTTCTCACACTCACACACACACATACATACACACAAAGCAGGTCCCAGCTGGGAGAACAGATTGGGGTTACAGCAGGGGCTCCAGTGCTTAGACAGAGAGATGAGAGGATAGCAGGAATCTCCCTATCCGCTCTAACAGCCTCCGGGAGGCTCATATGAGCCACCGCTCTCGCTCACAGCATCAGTGTAAATACACAGCAAATACGCTGCTCTCAATATCCAGCCCATGTCTGCGCACACTGTATGTAGAACCATTAGTGTCTGTTGAGCTGTGAGGGACAAAATCCCTCTCAGTGTCCAGGTCGTTCTCACAGAACTGCCTATGAACTATGTTCATAAATATTTGAGCGTCATAATCATCATGCAGATAAGCAACATTCGTTTAATCTAGTATATCAATTGGGGATCTACATGGTTAAATGATTCATTGATTTACTTTAAAGATTTTTGACTGTAATTAATATTTTCTATTTTAAAGGCATTTTTACCCTAATTCTCTTTACCACAATGCATGCACATGTCTGTTAACACAAGTAAAAGGTTTAACGTCAATGGCTGCCAATGTGTTGCGGTAATGAGGTAAAATTACACATATTATACTTCGTGAAAAACAAATATTTCAATAATTAGCTCAGTCAGATAACAGTACAAAGATAGGTATGAAAAGAAAAGACATTAGTTACACATTTATCTTTAAATCTTACAGTGTTGCAGTAATAAGAATTTGGTCACTCAAATGGGAAAATGCTACTAAAAATCAATTTAAAACAATCATTCAAGTCCTTTATTTAATCATTTGACTAGGCATCATTGTTTGTATATCCAAAAGAAGAAAACATAAAATTTTAGGGTCCCAGTATTTGTCATGTATGTGAGAATAACCCATCCTCTGCTGTTCCAATCATTTCAGTTCTATCACAGAAATTCCAATTCTATCATTTAGGGCATTTTATTTCTCCTCACAAATAAAGTAATTACTTTACAGTGAAGCTCCAGTCATTCTGTGCTCTCAGCAGGAAGCTGTTTGTGTATGAAAAATAAATAATAATAATCAAAATACCTTTCCAATCTCATCTTTCAGCTTGTACTGGTTGAGCTGCACACAATCCTTTGGAAATAAACAGAAAAAAAAATCAGTTATCTTGTCTTGAATTTAGCAAAATCAAGTCAAAACAGCCACTACTTTGTTTTCCAATACTGTGAAAAAGGAGTATGATATAAGTTCCTACAGATAACAGTTATGCTACATAAAACCACTATTTTTAGTAGCCTACATTGCAACTCATGCTGTAGCCTACATAACTGTGCTTCCCAAGGGAAACTGCAGGTTTGAAACAGAAAAGCAAGCGCTGACACACACTGCAGGAGCAGGAACACTAGCTAAACATCTGCGACCTCCATTTCTCCAATGGAGTTTGCCTCCTATTGGCATTACAAGTAAGCTACAGGGGAATGTGCTCTAGCAGGGCAAAGACATCTACTCATGTCTGAAACCTTACCTCAGGCTCTTATTCTCAGCCTTTGCTTTGCTGAGGTTGCAGCCATTTCAGAAAACGAGAAAAATACAGGTTCTTCTCAAGACTGAATCATTTCTTGTCAAAATGTATCTGAAGAGGTTTGAGTCATCCTGGCACATGGGATTAGAATTTTTGGGGCAACGCTGCAACTATTGCATAACGTTACATAATTGTGATACTTCATTAATACACAGCTTTACTTCAAAGTGTTTGACTCCCCAGCAAAACTGACATCTCCCAACAGGGGCTGCAAATTCATTTCTGTGAAATTTTCAAAGACTTCTTTGGTATTTAGACATTTCTGTTATATTACATTGTATTATACGGAACATAATTGTCTGGAGTTCTGGAAAAAAGCTTTATTCTATTTTTTATACTAACAACTAACTGTAGCTCTGTACCTGCAGGTCCGTGATGGAGACTCTGTGGGACTCCACGGTGGGTCTGCGGGGCAGGCGCGGAGACGAGTGGGGGCGAGGTGATGGGCGAGTAGGGCAGAGACGGGTAGATGTAGCGGCCGTTGAGGCTGGGTGATCCGCAGGGTGAGGAGAGGGTCTGCGAGCGCTCCTGAAGCGACAGTTTCCTGTCTGAAAGGTTGAGTCTGCCCCGGTGCTCCTGCGCCTCTGGGAACAGAGCCTCAGGCCGCCCCACCGTGTGAGACAAGAGGTCGCAGGAGGGCGTGCGGAAGGGCGGTGATGGACCGGACGATGGCTCGGGTGTTTCCGAGCTGTCCATGTCCTCCACCTCCTCATCGTCTCCGCCCCCCTGCCCCGGGGTGCCGCTGGGCTCGTATTCGGTCACCACAATGACGGACTCCATGTCACTGGCAAAGGGGCTCAAGGGCGGGGCTGAGGGCGGCAGCACAGCGCAACCACGCAGCAGGTCAGGAAGGGGCTGATTGGGCGGCTGGACTGGAGGAGCGGGCGGGGCATGGCCCAGAGGGGCGGGCGCTTCAGCAGAAGGCCAGGAGGAGACACAGGGAAACATGGCGTCCTTCCCAAAAACCTCCCAACTGCCCCTCCATTAGGAGTGCAGAGGGCCCTGCTATAAAGAGCGGGAAAAAAAAAGGATGAATGAGTTATGAGTACAGCCTGAATGCACTGTACACTGAGGCTTTGCTCCTCAAGGACAAGCTCTAGATTAGAGAACAGAAGCACCTGACTGCTGGGCAGCCTTTGCTCTACATTTTGAAAATAGAAGAGGAGATGAACTCTCATTTTCTGCGAGGTCTGACCTGAAGTCAGGTCACTGATGTAAAATTAGACGATTTGGCCCGGAAGGGCCGCACCACAATATGATGAACAAACTGAGCTCCACCAGGAAGGCTTGTAAATTTTGTGCTTGTCTTAGGCAGCACTGATAAAATTAAATCACAGTATTTTCCATCATATATAACACTACCAGAAAGGGATGGGCAAGATGGTAAAAAGATCATATCATGATACTTAAAGATGTTTTCACAATACGTATCATGACATTTTGAGACACAGACACACTGCACTAGTATGTAAAAGTGTCATCAAAAACTCTATACTACAAACAATAATTTACTTCAACATTTTACTGCTCTAAGTCCAATTAAACAGGTCTGCTCAGAGAAAGCTGTTTTATTGATATCAGCAGAAGAAGCCTATGAATACAGTTAAACTCAATATGCTCAAAAAGGCATGTTGTTTATAACATAATGATAAAATATCAGCATACTGCCCACCTCTAGTATCAGATGATGTTTAAATTTGCATTAATAAAGTTAATGAATATTTGCTTCCTGAATACTGGTACTCAATACTGAAAGAATGTTCTGGAAACCTTATGTAGCTTCTTTTGGTTCTGTTCTGCTTCTTCTAACCAAAGGAAACCTTAGTACTGTAAATGTTGCAGAAAGTAAACTGACTATTTATTTAGATTTTATGTATTTTGAACCATTTTTATACATTTTCACACTACTGTGTGTTCCTAAAGTTTGATTGAAAATGTCAGTCTGCTTTGACGTTGTTATAGCTACATTCTTCTTCTAAGCCTCTGTTTGTTCTAGGCTCGATTTAGGCACATATAAAGCTGTATCTTTGGCAGGCAGATTCTTTGTTGGTGTGAAAACTGGAGATATTCACTGTGAGTGTGGGAGCGGTGTGGGTCTCAGGCAGCAATAGGGATAAAAGCAGGTACAATAAAAGACATTCATCACTCTGGAGGGTTCAGAAAGGAGAACTCGTGTGGGCAGGCCCACCCCCTCCATGCGTCCTCGTTTCTCTCGCTTCCACAGAGAGCCGGTCCTCTTTCTGCCTTCCATCTCTCACATTCTCTCTTATTCTCTATCTATTTCTTCATCTCTATTCCCATTTCTCCTCAAGTCTTTATCCCAGAGTTATCTCAGTACCTGACTTTCAGCCTCTTCTGTTTCACTGTCTGCCAAAAGCCACACACAGTGAATAATCAGAAATATCTTCTTCAACAAGAAAGGATTTTAACAACCGTGCTGCAGAACTATGCACACCGAAATTCAACAATGCATGACCGAGCACTCTATTAGTGTTTAGCAACTGAAGCAGTCCCATTATTGTTTTGGGCTCTGATGAGATCTTTAAGCTACAAATGAAAGGCCCTCAATCTAGTCAGTGTTCTTCACTCTGCACTTGTTTTATGCACAGACTGACAATAACTTTATTGAAATCAGCAAGAGGAGCTGAACGCGTTTGATGTCATCATTAGAGGAGGCACACAGGCCAACAAGGAACAAATTTCTCTCAGTGATATAAAGAAAAATTGGATGAGGAAAAGTGGACTGGGCACATTAATGACTCCTTTTACATGAGCAGAGCATTTTACATAAGGTTTCAGGGTTAAACAAGGTGAGCTATAGTTTGATTAGAACAACAAGAAAGCTAAGTTTGATAATGCAAATGATGACGATGATGCAAAATCTGATAATGCAAATGCTGAACCTTCATTTAAATCCCACTTTAATTTGTACAACATTGGTTTTGTCTAGGGTTCAGTTTAGGACAGGTTTAACAAAGGATTCCTTTGATCCACTATGAATTAGTTCATTTTAATTTGTTGCATGATGTAACAAAACCTTGCATATCTGAAATGGTATCTTTAGAGAAGAAGGAAAAATGTAGTATGCTAATGTAACAAGAGTTTATTCCAAGCTATTCTGGGCCATTTCTATTGGCCCATTCCTCATAAAATGGAGGTAACTGGCATGTCCAAATGGTGTTAAAAAGTAACAATGGATAGAAAACAGACTTTTTATCCAAATAACATCACTATGCAATTGCTAACTTTAATGCACGTTGAGGTTTTAGTGTTATGCAGCACCAAGCTAACACAGTAACCTAACTGGTTTGAACTTACAGCAGTTATAGCCTAAATGTGGACATTTGAAGCTTGTAATAGACAATCAATTCACTTATTTACTTTACTTTGTATATTTTACAGCTAATCTTTCAGTAACTTAAAGTCTACCCCTAAATATTACTGGATTAGCCACCTCTTGATGGCAAATTGCTGAGGTTGTTGTTAAACAGAGCCTCATTATAATGTAGGGTCATATGTAATATGACTTTAGGCCTTCTAGGACCAACTTGTGTCTGCAAATGTGTGCGTTAGTGAGATACTACATTTTCTTTACCCCTCCAAGCTGGGCTGAGTTAAAAGTATCCCCCCTTTTCATAATTTCTCTTCGAGTTTATTTCATGCAGAGCCAATGATGATGTTTTGTGAATCAATTCTGAAACTTTCAAGAGAGAACTGCGATGCATCTGACATCATTCTGATACTGAAATACTGAAGTGTCCATTGTGCTACGTGGGACTGATGTGCTAATAAAACTATTAGTTCTGATTAAGTCTAGAACCTAAACCGCACATACAGTTCATCACATGCTAAAAGAGTGTGATTTTGCAGTCACTGGAGAGCATGCTTGAATGCAAAATCAGCCCCATAACGAATTACTGTATACTGTTTGAGAAAGTACACACTGAGTCAACTTGTAACAGCAGGTACACGATCAGAACAATAGAGCAGGTCAGATTAGCCTAAGAGCTGTGGTAATAAATTCCTGTCTGCTATGACATTTGATGGCCTTCACATTAAACAAACATGAGTTATTAACTGTGTTCACCCTATGGTCTTAAATCCTCACAGTCTGGGGATTCGTTAAGGAAGAAAAGTGACTCTGTGGCTTTCTCTAAGCAGAGGACAAGATGAGACATGAATCATCTTCGGGCAGACTCAATCTTTTCTGATGTAACAGAAGTTATTCCATTGAAACAGATGGAACAGAGGCAATCTTTAATATGAGACAATGAGAGGAGAAGGGAGAAGAAATTAGCTTCTCTCTCTGTGTCATCAGTCTAAAAGTCATCTACTGTGAGACTACGCCAATGGGGAAATGAATGATAGATGCCACATGACAGCAAGACCACAACAAACATCTTTAAAGTGAACAAAATACCAAGAGAAATACTGTTTTTATTTCAACATATTAAACACTCATGATGGTGAACTGAAGCAGATTACAATTATTCATTTCATGTACTACTCAAGATTAAGGCTGACACTATCTATCACATTAGTAATGCAGTAATCTCCCTCTTTTTTGTATGATTAATCTAGTAATCTGAACAATAGCAAATGATGCTTAGCCCCCAAAGTACTTTATTAGAAAAAAGGAGGAATGCACAACAATATCATAAACATACTGGCATCGGCAGATAATTGCCTTGAAAAAACTACCGGCATCAGACAGATGTTTAGATTTGACTAATATTTAAACTGATGTTTGATGAGGTATTTATTGCACTCTGGATGAGGCCTCGCTGGGTTACTGCCTAAAAACCTGTATTTCATTAATTAAACCACTGCATTTGTAACCCTAAAGAACTAAATGCTACATTTCTTTATAATGGTAATCCAGAAAGATGCCCAATTTCTACATTTCATAAATGTTTATGTATTAGTATCGACAGGTCGTATGTACAGAAAAAATATCAGATAGCAGCCTACAATTCCTCCATCAGTTAATGCCAAAGAAAAAGATAAACAAGGAAGCCTTCAAATGAGAAAAATATGTGGCCAGAAAATGCAAATAAACGGGTCCATCGGGTGCTGTTTCTTAATGTAAGAGAGATCAGTAGGGGAATTCAAAATATCCATTATCATGTATGGATATTTCCAATTTTTCACTGTTGATTCACTGGAAAGGTAAATTGAAGGTCAGCCTATTACAATTATCACACAATCATCTGATTGCAATTATTTAAGATTATCACAATCATTTTCTGGTCATTAGATTTCACAATTACAGTTTCAGCTAAACAACTAGTATGTGAATTGGGTGCATTTCATTTGTTGGACTGAGGCAAATAAATGTAAATAAAAGAAGCAGAAAATGCATTTACTGAGACAAGAATCAAGGATCTAATGAAAAAAACAAAAGTTCAAAACCTCTAACTTTATGTCAGTACTAAGCAATGCTTACTTATTACCTAGGTAGATAACACCATTGTTGTTAGTATGAATGCTTCCAGATGTGTTTTTGCTAATATTTTTACGCTGTGAAAAAGAAATACAGTGGGGATTTTTCTGGGATCTGGGATTTTTTTCCATGAAAACCTGGAAAGAACATTTAACAATTTTGAAAAAAAATTTAAAACAAAGAAAAGTGAAATGAAAAAGACATATTCAAGAAGATGCAGTGTTTCTAGATCACCATCCAAATTTAAGCAAGTTTGTGGCACTGATCATGTTAAAGCCTTTGCATAAAAAGGTCAGATTTTTCAGTCTTATCTTTTCTATTGACACACAAGTCCAGACGACTCTCAAGTCGATTTGTTCTACTCATCAGATGCTTTTGCACAAACTTGTGGAGTCCATGCCAGCTCAGGTGTACTTGAGCACAACAGAGGGAAATACCAAATACTAAGAAATCTGAAGTTCATGTAAACACTTCAAGGATTCCACTTTTCACTCAAACTGTTATACTAATAATATGATGTATGTAAGCCTTACTTGACTTAACAGTACAGGGTATCATGTCGTTTCAATACAACCTAGTATTAAGTAGAGACAAAGCAACACAGCTAATCAGCTGCCACTTAAGGCTTGTTCTTTTAATAGTTACAATAAAATACATAAAACAAAACTATATATATATATATATATATATATATATATATATATATATACGTCAATTAATAATCAGCTAAAATTTTATGATCGTGACAGGCCTAACCGTAGTCAATTCTAATTTAAAATCTCGTCTAATCAAGTAATTATGACAGCCGTACTAATCATCTTAAAAGTGCTCCCTGCTGACTAAAGTACTGTAAAAGACATAGGAAAGTTTCATTCACTATCAGAAAACCTACCGTAAATAATTAAAGATTCTCAGAAATGAAGCAGCCTGTGCGCTCTGTGAGGTGCTTTTAGTGTCAGAAAGGATTTGTGTCAGTTGTATGGAGGCAGTTTCAGACTACCTCACCCCACCTCCTCCAACTCCACCTACAGAAAGCCTCACTGAGCCCTGAGCACTCACCCATGTCAGACCCATTTGTCAGAGCAGGTGTCGCTGTATTGATACCAGGATGACAAAAGGGTGCAGTGGCAGTGTAATGACTGCCTGGTCTTATTCAGTACTACTTACAAACATTCCGGCAGTCTCTAATGCAGGGTCAAGCCTACATCACAAGACTTCATGCTCCTAAATAAAGACCCTTCCCGTCTTCTGTGATCAGCTGCACATACACACTTTAACATACTGCAAATGTAGATAACGTGTCTGCGGCTCACATAATATGTTTACTGCTCAAAGTTTTAACTGTACAGCAAAAACTGGGCCTAATACAGAACCAAAATTATTATTAATAATTATTATTGTAATGTAATATTAGTGGAACCTTTTTTGGTGCTATACAGAACTGTTATATGTAACAAGTTGTTCATCACGTTACAGAACCATTTAAGCTTTGAAATGTTCTCCAAATTATGTTTCTGTATATAAACACTGCCATTACAGCCTTTTAAAAAACTTGCAGAACAATATACCACTTTAAAACTGCATACATCTTCAATATCTATAATTAGCGCTTGAAACAATCACTCAACATTATCGACTGTCGACAAATATTTCTGCTGGCGATTTTTCTTCTTTACATTTTTAAAGCCATGTCCAACCAAGAGTGAGCTGATGAATTAACCTGAGGAGGGCAGCAATTGACTTAAAGTGTTGTACCTGTGTGAACAGACAGTGAAAGCAGCGATCAATTATAACAGAAAGTTAAAAAAATAAGTAAAGCCTGGGGGCATTTTCTTAAATCATCACGTACAACAAATGCAAGCCTGATTTAGCCTTCCGAGAATGTGTAACAATACCATCCAGCATGGGGCAAGAAAACAACAGAACAGTCAGTAATTAATACCTTTTCCTCCGTGCAGGTGTTCGCAGTAAGGGATTTGTCAGAATGAGCTAAAGTTACCTTTACAAACATCACTAAAGCTCATAACGTTACATTACTAACATCAGTCACCAGAAAATTTGAAGCCATATAGGAGCTATTTCACAAAACTCCTGAACACACGGCAGCTTGTCCTGTCACAGTCTTACATACATTGGTTAGCTAACTACATCCAACTGGTTAATTATGGTAAATTACGGAGAGGCTTTTTAAAAGTGCCATGTTTTTTTCCCGTGGAGGTAATTTAACTTGGTGAACAGAATCTCAGAGCCAAAGCACTGCCAAGCATTTTTTTGTTACAGATCTTCACATTTACAGTCTACATTTAAGCCAATGAATTGATTATTAGTCAATTAATTTACATGAATATACAACTCTGAACCCTATTTATAATGTACTTGTACATAACAACCACTCCATCTCTTATGTTGCGTGTATATTGTGTGTTGTGTATTTTATGTATCTTTTCTCTATTTTTATTGGAATTTATGATGACACACATACCAACAAAACTTCCTCGTGCATCTTGTACTTGACAAATAAAAAGATTCAGATTAGGAGTGACCTCCATGCAAAACATGTCCTGACACACATCCAAAGCTGCCCTGTCCCATTCAACTAAACTCAAGGAGACTGTGCTGGTGAAATGCAAAGACCAAGAGCATGATGTTGCTGAACCACAGGAAGCTCTGGTCTGCTGAGTTATTTTAATCTCAAGACAGTTACTTCGCTGGATGACCTACTTTGATCTTTGATGGATTGCAAAGCATACACTGGTACACTGTGCACAGCCTATATAGGCCGCCGAATATGGACTCATCTGTTTGCTGAAGTTTATGTACCCGAGTTTAGCATTCATGCAGAAACGTAGAGGCTCTACCAATCAGGAACTGCCAAAACACAGCAGCTACAAATTTGCTGAGAAAGATCATGGTGAATGCACAAGGTTTCAGGAAGTGCTGTCCCATAGCATGACCAGACTACCTGATAAAATGGATACAATACCAGATGCAGCAGTTACTGCCTTTAACAGGCTTGGTGTTCCAGAAATGTATTCATTTCAATATTGGGTTGAATTACAGTGTCAATAAGGATGCTTTTTAACCCTTGTGTGGTGTTTGGGTCTGTGGGACCCATTTTCAAAGAAAGAAATAGAAAAAAATGATGTGATTTATTATTATTTCAACCTCAGATTTCTTGGCCTTTGTTAATTTTCTGTGAAGAACATAACACATTTTCAGTGACTTCACACTGTTCTGTTCTCCTCCTACATGGCCTGCTGTTAGTGTGTGTGTGTGTCTGCATGTGTATGTGTTTGTATAAGTGCGCATGTGTGTGGACAACATGGACAGGCTGCTGACTGGCTACAGCTGCTAAATGAGAACCCTAAGCTTTGTGATATTTTAAACATCTGGTATTTTTACATAAATTGTTATGGCTATATTGATTTAAAAACACAATAATGCGGTGGGTCCACCAGACCACTGAGTAACAAATACATCAACACCGCACAAGGGTTAAATAGAGTCCTAATACCTGAATAAACCTATAGTCTCTTAAAATTTCAACCCCTTAAACTGCAAATGCCTATGTGTGGGCTGACACTTCAATTCCTGAATCTCACAACTAAATAACTTACGTATTAGTTTCATAGTACTTACCGAATAATTCATAGTAGTTACTGAATAACATGCATCAGGGTTAGTAAGAGAACAATACACTTTACCCTTTTTTATTTTTTCAATTACACTGAATTACACTGAGCAGAATTCCCTTTTATCACAAATGCAGCAATGATCTTAGCATGTGGACATTAGGAAGGTCATATTTGGTGACAGGGTAACTCTAGCTCTAAAACCAAGCAGATGTTTTCTTTCTACAGATGCCAGTGGTTTATCATACAGTTCGGTCACATGGCTGGTCCTCACCATTATGGCAGGATGGGCCAGTAGTCAGTGCATCTAAACACAGGACACACTATACAGAACAATCTGCTGGAGAAAGGGCTTATCTACATGGCCGTTAAAGGATAGACAGAATAATCTGCTGGAGAAAGAGCTTTCCTGCATGACCGTTAAAGGCTATACAAAAAAACTGCTGGAGAAAGAGCTTATCTGCATCTCTGTTTAACAGAGGCGGAAAAAAATCTGCTATCAAAATAAAGATACAATGCAAAAACAACAGTACAAGAGGGGTGAATGACATAATACTCGCTCCAGGTATGTTAATATATAAACTGATATGACTGCTGCATGCTGTAATAAGTCACACTTTTGCTTAAATGAACAAATCAACCTTTTGTAAGTTGTCACATTTCACAAAAGGTCAAATGTCACAAAGGCAGCAGCAAAAGAAAATGATTAACATCATTCAACATGATCGTAAAGTGACGTTTGAGATAATACACACATTGCTCATTCCTAAAAATATGTCCTCCAAGCTCAGAAATGTGGGAAATCTGATAAGCATACTTCAGTGTCATATCTTAACTCTAAATACAGCTTTTTTAATGGTTATCACGAATCGCCTACTTCGCCTTCAATCCGCCTAAAAAAGGAAAGACAGCAACAAACTGCCTTACCAAATATGACTGAACATAAACGATAGAGGAAATTCTCACTGTCCACAGTTTGTATAAAGGCCCTAAACGCAAATGTATGAAAATATTTTGACAGCTTGCCTTGGACTTCTGCCTTTCAAACTATCATGAAGCTGGAGTCAGCTTCTTGGTCGAATTTTTCCGTTCCACCTTAAATGGTGCAGCAGTTACATTCTGGCACCACCGTTTAAGGTGGAACGGGAAAATTCGAACAAGAAGCTGACGGATAGGAAGCCAACTCCAGCCTCGTAGCTATTTTGTCTTCTGATTAAATTTCCATTTAGCTGGCATCTTTTCAGAAAAGGGTATACTTAGTTACTTGCTAGTCCGTTACCACTAGCGTTAGCTAGTACAGTCTGTACGACTTCACGACTTTGGAAGTAGCTAGCTTGCTAACATACCAATAAAAGACAGTTTTGAGGCTGAAAAGGCAAAGAAAATCAACCCGTAACTAGTACGTCAACATAAAAAAAGGTTAAGAAAAGACCCCGAAACCATTCCTGTCTAGCGAGCCCAATATCTAATCGGCTAACGGCACCGATATTTAGAGTTTATTTTTATTTACATCCGCCTTGTTTCTGCTAAGCAGGCTAGGCTAACGGATCTCTTATGAAACAGATGTTAGGGGAAAATCCTCACTGTAGCCAAGGGCATGTATCATAACAGAGGGGGGGAAATGTCTCAACAGTAACCGCAGATGGTAGTAAGTGCTCATTCTTACCTTGGCTGGCCGAAATGTTCTCTTACAGTATCTGAGGCAGCTTCGCAGCCCTACCGCCACCTTGTTTAATGGTATTTGGAGTGATGTGGAAGCAGTGTGAAGGCGGGCAGCTCCGCTGTGATGCGCGGCCGCTGCATCCTCTGCCGAGCTGTGCGCGGGCGGACTGAGAGAGCAGCAGCTCAGCCATGCCACCCTCATGCACACCCCCAGGGACACGCTTAGAGAGGGAAAACATCACTAAGGGCCAGTTTCTTAGACCCAGATAAAGCCTAAGCCTGGACTTAATAAAGACTTTTAAAAGTAAAACCCCATAGGCAACCCTGCTGAACAAAAATCATACAAACCATTAAAAGTTTGTTGGTTCCTGGTGGTGTTCACTGCGCAGTAATGGTACTTTGAGTGTTGCTGATGGGTTGAGATCACAGGGTAAAGGATTCTAATTGCTTCACAGGTGTTCTAGGACTGATTCCAGACACATTCGATGGTTTCCTAAAAGGACCTGTGTCCTACAGGAAACTGGTGGTTACTAATGGCAACCATTGAGCCAATTCCCATTAGAAAGCAAAACCATCAGGTTCTAATCCTAACGGTCATTTTTCAGTAGGGAGCTCCATCAAACTGGCCCAGACTGGCTTGCCATTACACCTTAAACTGCAAGGGCCCAGCTTGCTTTTCACAGTACAGATTTACTATAAGTCTTAAACATTCTTAAAAATAAGGGTTCTTTGTAATAATAAATGGATTAATGGTTTCCTATGGAGAACCTTTTAATAGAAGGTTCTGTACAACACTTTTTAAAAGCTTTTCAAAGGTTTAGGAACCTTAATATAATGTAAATGTCTACCAATTAAAAGGTATTTCCTGTAACCAAGACAAAAGCCTTTACTTTTAAGGACGTAGTTAATAAATAATAAGTCTTAAGATAAATCACTAAATAAGAAGCCGAAGGGTTTAGAAAAAAGCAGCTAAAATGCATATAAAACTAAATTCTCATATTTCTGCATCAGTGTATGAACCTGGGAAATAAAAGCTGCATAATTTATACCAGACAAAAAAAAAATGTGCACTGTAAATCTTTTATAAGCAGTTTACTGTACAGAAATCTGATGTCAGGCTTCAAACAAAAACCCTATATGCTCTTCACATAAGTCACAGAGTCAGCACTGAACTGAAATTTCTCATTACAAAAATGCGTGAAGTCTGAATTAAACCTTATTCTGTGATGATACACAAAACCAAATGAGCCACAGTAAAAGCAAAGAGCTGCCTTTATTATGGTAAAGAGAAAAGGAGGTGAAAAAACCTTAAAAAAAAACAAAAAAAAATAAAAAAATGCTCTGCAACATCAGTCAAATCAACACGGGTTTCTAACTTAAGCAAGCTATTAACACGAAAGGTAAAACAGAAAACTGTACACATTGAAGCCATCCCAGGATTCCAACTATCGTCTTTTCTGGAAGATATTTCCTCTTGCTCCTGGCCCTCCTCGGCCCCGACCTCTCGCAGCAACTGCAGGACAAAGAAAAGAACCATTGGTCACATTTTAAGCCTGTACTTAGTGACACTGTTTCCCAGGTTCATTATTACTGTTGAAGGCAAGGCCACAAAAGGTAACTCAACTGTAGGACCTAAATGAACACTAGAAAACTACAACCACATTAGCTGTGCGATACTGTAAAGGATAAAAGACCACAACTATTGCAATCATACTACAGTTGAGAGGCATTCAACTGCACAGCTTGTATAATCTCCAGAGGAAGGCACTGCCAATAGAACAGGCAATGGAAAGAGAAGATCTTGCCAGAAGAGGAGAGGCTGTTAATGCAGCAAAAGGGAGGGCCAACTTATTTATACCCTTAATTTTAGAAGAAATGAAAGATGGGCAGGTACCTACAAACTTGTAGATGTAGAGTGTTCCTTGTATGTAACATTTCAACCAAACTCAAAGTCCACTGTGTGCTCCATTTTCAACCTTAACTGCTCTTTTAATTTCTTCAGTTACCATGCACAGTAATTTAACTGCGTTTCCTGTAACTCGAAACCGACTAATAAAAGGCCAGTGGGCAATTTCTGAATTCCACAAATAAATGTTTGCACTAAATAACTAACTCGCATTAAAAACTACAGCCACTACACAATAACAATACTGTTCTTCTAATAAAGCCGTCATAGTGTCTTACCAAAGCTATTCTTATGATGTTTTATCCCGCTTTTAAATACTAAAGCATTATGTCCAGTTACATTCACTTTCCCTATTGTGTTCTGGTGTTCATGCACATAGAAGTGTGGGAAAAAAGTTACTTCACTATGCTGGTAACACTAAAATCTCTCTTTTTTTTTTACCAATACTGCAACTGTGATTTAAATTTTCATTATATTCTATAAATTCAGGTCCAGGCCTGTCTTTGGCCAGGACTACCAGCATAGACACTTTTTCGGGCTTGAAGTTTGAATGCTGAATGTAGTGCGCCAGACTAAGGTTGAATGATCAGGGGAAAATATATAATTGTGATTTTTCAGCCAAATATTGCGACTGTGATTTAAATTACATTTATTTTTTTTTTTAAGTCCAATCCTGTTTTTTTTTTTTTTTGTCCATGAGGACCAGCATATCAATTTGTTCTCGCTTGGCTTAACACAGTGTACTAGACTGCCAGTTAATTGTGGTTGTCATTTACATCATGTGGGTGTTTAGTTGCTTCTGATTTGTCTAGCTTATCTACAGGTAGCAGCCCCATGCTACTAAGTACACAGGGGGGGGGCATGCTGAGGTAGCTAGCAACTACACATAACTAGCTAAGTTGTCCTGGCTCAATCTTCCTAGTCGCAATTACACCACTGATTAATCTAATATTTACTTAACAGATGAGTAGTCAGGAATATTTTAACAAGAAGCCACACAAAGAGGAGTCACATAGCTCAGATGTCCTAATGCTGGAAAATTCCTTCCTTTGGACTACTGCTCAAAAAACACAGACAAGGGGGACTAAAATATTAAAATGATAACTTGTATTTTGGAAGGAAAATTCTCACTTCTTGGGAGAAACAGAGCTTCTGTCAGAATGTAGATATGCACTTAGAGAAACACTAACCAATAAAATGCAGGTAAACAGTATAATGACTCCAACCCAGCAGTGCTTGATGAATACAACAGGGCTTAGTAAAATGCACCAGCAGTAACACTAAAAATATTTAATTATAAAAATACTTATATCTACAATGTTGGTGTGTCTTACAAAACTGTTCACATTTATGGGCAATTATTACAAATCAGTGCAGAGATTAAAAGGTGGCATGCTGTACCTTGAGCTTTAAGAATAGCTGCCTTGCCCCTTCCAGCTCCTGCTCCTTGATTTTTATTCTTCATGCTCTTTAACATTGGTGCGTTTTTCAACATGTCAGGCAGGATGAGGAAGCGAATTTTGCTGCCACGAATGTAGACTTGCTCCAGCTGTGATACTCGGCCATCCCGATACGTCACAGTAATGTTAGACATCTGAAACATCAACCAAATTTAACAGCAAGAGTTAATTCAAACATCAAGCACTGCACTTATTGAGGCGTACACACAGTTTTAAATATAAGTGCCACAAAGGGTTATTTGAGTGATGCCATAGAACCACTTCTGGTTCCCTAAAGAACCATGTTTAAAAAGAGGTTTGAGCATGTGAAGAACATTAACATCTTAAGAAACCATTCTACACCAATTTAAATAGTAGCTCCCTAGAACTGATATATAGAGAACCATCCACTGAAAGGTTCTTTAGGAAACCAACCTTATGTGGCAACACGTAAACAAAACCAGATAAGAATGGAAAACTGTTTTACATGTTAATCAACCTGCACTGAGCAGCACAAAAACCAGTATGTATGCGAAAACACTCTATATATAGGAGTTGGCAATTATTAAGCACGCTTACCTCATGTTTACCCCAATTGGCCATTTTACCAGGTTTACCAAAACCACAGGTGCACTTTGATGCTTTGGAAGTACAGATTGTAGTCCATCTGTGGGTGTGCACTATTCCTTGGCCACCCAAATACTATATGAGACATGGACCATTCTCAGTATAGCACTGGCCCCAAAACAGTAGTGGCACATTAGTAGGTGCTGCGCTGGCACAAGTGCACTGCCACCCAAATTGTGCATAACTACAGATGAACCACAGCCAGTCACTCAATACAAAAAGTGCTACCATATGATAGGTACACCTGATAAAATGAACAACGAGCACTGATACAAGACAGGTGCACATAATAAATTGGAACTTCAGTATATATTTCTGAAGCATCTTAACTTATTAAAAACACAAACACAGGCCAGACATTACCTGACAGTTCATGTTATCCTCAGCTTCTACCAGTTTCCCCCTGTACACCTCACCAGTATTGGTTTCACAAGTCACAATGTGGCCCTCTGCTTCATGGAGCACTTTGATGGGAACACCAATCGACATGGTTATATCTGCAGCAAAGAGAAAGAGAAAGAGTTAATCACAGAAAAGACTATAAACCCAATTTAAAATCTTACTAATGTGTTGCACCGACAAGGATTAAGTTTTAGGTCTCCCTTACTTTTAGTTTTTAAAGGTAGAATTATATAAACAGGGTTGTACTCAAACTGGTGCATTAATTCTGGATTCAGTTTTACAGTGAGAGTGTTTATTACTAGAGATGGCAGACTGGTTCTGATGGGCATCAGCATTGGGCTGATATCAGCTTACAGGATTTGATATTGGAGTGGGGGAAAAAAATCTGATCCAACCCTGTTACAAGTCTAGCCTGTAATGACATACACACATTGTGTGATATGGTTAGCTGTGTATTTCATCCTGTGGGGTAGATGCTCATCTTGAGTGAAACGAAAGCAAAGTTTTAGCTAATGCTTAGTAACTTCCAAAGAAGAATTATCAAGTCAGTATCAGTTCATACTTAAATACTTTCCGTATTTGTATAAAAAAAGTGGTATTGTGCATTTTTAAATAACGGATGTAACTTAGGTTACTTTGACCCAGGTTGAGGTTTTAACCACTGAATTATTGGGACATTATGAAAGCAGCGAGGCTAATCAAAACACTAAACACCAAGTCAGATATTAGCTTGTTATATTATACTTAATTTAAGTCTGGCCTCTTTGGAATGAAAACTTACAGCAACACCAGCCCTTTGGAGAAGCCAGGTCAAAGTTAGCACCTTAGCTAAATCCCGGCCATGACCTTCTTCATTTACACAGCACCTTGGTTTCCACCGGTAGCAGTAACTAATTACAGATAAGCTGTTGATGACGAAGCTTTAGAGTTTCGATATCTGGTAAAGGTTTATTCCTCTTAGATAAAGTCTTACCTTCATGTTTGGGCAGTTAGCGTTAGCTAAAGTAACGTTAGCACTTGCTAACACAAACAGACAGGTAAGAAAACCAGCAGTTCGCGTGGCCTCAGTGAAATACTGAAAGCTAAGTTAACTCGGTACCTCTAAAACACCTTAAGCATATCTAAACCGTCAGGCAATGAAAAATATGAACAGTATCTCATAGTTACTGTACCTTTATTGATCTGGAGTTGAAGTCTTTGTGCTCGCTCACTAGCAGCGTGCGTCTGTGCGGCGTTTTCCCGCTCCCACAATGCAGCTCAAATACATCGCCTCACGTCCGGTGATTTCTGCACTGCATCATGGGAGTTGTAGTTACTACCCCATCTGCGTGTAAACGCTCACCCTGCAGTACCAGCAGTAGAGTGCGCTGTTTAATTACTTACATTGGCCGTAGGGCCTTGGCTCAAACGACGCTTCTCAAACCGGCTGAAAGTAGAAAGGTACCGACACCGATACTTTTAAGAGTCTGTGTACTAAATGTGGCACTTTGACTGAATATTAATTTGTCTGCTGAGACGAGGAAAAGGGGAGCGCTGCATACATAGAAATGCCTGTGAATCCTATTGCAGTTCACCCACTATAAGTAATAACGCTTTACATCTGACATCTTGCTAGTTCAGTGTTCTGGAGTACAGTACCAAAAACAATAAGCCTTTTATTGGGGGGGTGGTATCTCTAATGTTGTTTTCTATGTGACCCCAATGCTGAGGCTAATATCCTCACACTAATGTGGCTCCGTGCTGCAGAAGGGGACTTCATAGACGTGGTATGCAAAGCATGGTTACCCCCCCTCATTAAAAGAGTTGTTTGTTATTGTTATTGTTGCTTGTTGAGTTAATCTGTGTTTATGTGTTATTTGTGTTTTACTGTGTTTATATGTAGAGAGATTGGTTTGTGGGAAAAGGTCACCATGAAGAGAGGAATTCTTTGTGACTGCTGCAGTGAAAACTGCTGTGATGTCAGAAAATCTGCATGCCTTTGCCTTAGCATTAAATAAGCTGCCACATGAGTTAACTGACTGTGGGTTGAAATAACTACATATGATTGGCCACTATCAAGCACTCAGTCTGATGTGGCTGTGTGGGCCTGCGTATCAGAGGTAGAGATAGAGGGCGGAAGGAAAAGTATTTCCTGTCCTCCAGGCGTATGCAAAAGTTTGGGCGCCTGTGGTCAAATGACATGTTATGTTCATTTTCTACAGAGAACACACTTCTGCACATTTTAATGCACAATTACTGTTTATTTGTTGAGTTTAAGATGTAGTAAAATGTGGCAAAAATTATGCTATGTTTTTGTGCGTAAACTCCACAAATAAAAGAAATTTGTACACTAAAACTAGCAGAAAATGCCATATTTAATACGGTTCCCTGTAGAGGAACTTACTTTCTCTTAGAAAATTAACAAAATATACTACGCAGACTTTTACATACATCAGTACTTATTTATTTGCTGTTTTTTTTTCACTTTTTCAACATCAAAGAAACAATTACTTCTATGAAAAGACAGATATTTAGTTAATTGCCTTAAGAAAACAATTAGTATCAACATTTTCATGTCTGGTATTGATGCTTTAGTGTCAGTCCACACACTTCTAATGTTTATTAGACAGACAGACGGACAGACAGACCACTTTATTAATCCCATAGGTAAAGTTGTTTATTACAGTAGCACAAAGTACAGTAAATATCAAAACAACAGCAATTGTATTGTCGTACGCTATTATACAGATGCATAAATAGAAGACATAAAGGCCTGTCTGTTGTTGCCATCAACAGTGACAGCAAAACAAAAGCACTTTTGAGTTTAAGAGTAGCAATTAACTGCCAATTACACAGCTAAGCTAGCAACTAATAGTGGTTAATTCAAAACTAGGCTAACTACTTTGAAATACATTTAGCCGAGTGTAAAATGAAAACTCCTCACCACTATTTTAGAGTGTAGTATGCAAGTGGGACCATTGTCAGATTTGAAATGAAACAGTGTCTGTGAGCATGTCAGTTTTTTTTTACTGATGACGTGCATGCAAGTGAGATGAAGCAACTGAATTCCCCGAAATTCATTGAAGGGCACTTTATCTTGCAGAAGGACGGTGACCCAGAAGCAACCATGGAGTTTTTTCAGGGCCAGGAAGTGCAATACTTTTGACTGGCTAAATCAATGACCAAAACCGAACTGGCCTTCAGTTTTACTTAGAGAAGACAAGATAGAATGGGAAAAAAATACAATCTAAAAACGGCTGCATTACAGACTTTGCAGAGAATCGTCAATGAAGATGTCCAGCATTTAGTGTTGTTGTATTTGAGAAGGTGGCGGGGGGTGGTACAAGAAAAGGTGTATGATATATATATATATATATATATATATATATATATATATATATATATATATATAATTTGTGTAGGTTTAGGTAAGTAAAGTGCACTGTATATTTCTGAAAAACACAAAATATCACTTTTATTTAAACAAACAATAATTATTTACATTATTATCCAAGTACTGCTTCTTTATTTAACTCCACATACCTTCTGATCACTGAAAGTAAACGTGCAGCTGTACAATAGGTCTACTGCACCATTCCAAAGCTTTACAAGCATTTTTCCTTCCTGTAATAAGACCTAGACACTGCAGGAAGGAAAACGAGGGGACTCTGTATGGTGCTGTAGACCCAGCACTTAAATTACTTAGGTTTTTAGCCACCTAGTCTAAAGAGAGATGTACTAATTGGAGGAAAATGATGTTTCTTTGACTTGCTGTGCGTCTGACAGAGTGGTGATTCACAGTATAATTTAGTTGTATTGATCTGGTGTGCAAGACATATATATGTAGTTTGGATAGTTATCCTGGCCCTGGCTAAAGGCCCACTTTATCATGTTACTAACAAGGAACTGATGGAAAACCAAGCCTCTTGTGACACACCTGTCTTTCTAGAAAATACAGCTCTCTTAGGATTAACTCCAGTTTTTTCTCACTGAAACCCTGTTGAAATATGATCATGAGTCACAAAACATAAATGTTCACCTTCACCTCTATTCCTTCTTAAAGGAATAGTTCAGCGAAAAATCAAGTTTACATTACTTTTCACTTAACCCAAATGCACTCGATCAGCCAAGACATGTTTGGTGTCAAAATGTGGCTTACTTAGTTTCTAAATAAAAAGCTTCTGAAAGAGGAGAAAGAATATCGCTGTTGTCGGAAGAAAACCTCTCATCTCCAAAATGGTAACTTTACAGGAATAGGAAAAAACCTACTTTACTTTGAATGTAAGTCAATGGAACCAGACTTCTTTCCGAGTCATTATGAGTCGTTTCTTTTGGCCCATTCTTCCTGAAATTTACACACAATGTAAAGGGCAACAGGCATTTTCAAATTATGTCAAAAACAGAAAAACGACAAAAATGGAGATACGAGGTTTTCTTCCGACAGCAGCGATATAAACATTCGGTTTGTATTTGTGGAAACAGTTTTGGTGACTATTTCGTTTCAGTGTTTGTTGGCACTGTTAGCCTGGCAGCTCCAGTTCTAAACTAAAGCAGAAAAACTAGGACACTCTTCAGCTCATCCAGTCCATGTATGTAAATTAAGCTGCAAAAACAGTCTGTTTTGAATTAGCTGATTTTGTGATGTCACAAAATCCAACAAATTTTTCATATCCCTGCCTGTACAGCAGTTTAGCCATTCCCATTCATATTGAACTTACAAGAAGTGTTTCAGTAGGGACTGCTTTTTGAATGAGGCACAATGCAAAGTAGCCAATCAGAACAGAGCTCATTTGCATACATCAGTCCTAAGGGCACAGTAAGTATTTAAAAGGGATAAAGAGATGGAAAGTTCACTGTGTTTGGTACATATTCTCACACAAACTCAGAGAAAAAAAAAATGCATTTAGGCCCTTTAAAATGAGTTTCATAGAAGATGATTCAGTGATCAGGAGGAAATAACAGGCCTCTTTATACAACCCAGTCAAACAGAGCTCTCTGTTCGCTACTTTGAAATTGACCTTGTGACTGTTGTTTCAGAGATTTGAGGAATTTCACCTGCTCCCTTCACCAACGCAACAGGACAGAAAGCAGCATCCTTCCAGCCAGTCTCGCTCAAAGCCACAATCAAACAGACAGACAGCGGGTCAGCAGGCAGTCCGCTGATTACACAGTAACTCTCAACAATGTCTCCAAAGCTCATTTTAGCAGCTGAATGAACATGTCAGCAGCCACTGATGTATGTGACAGTCTGATAGCTTTACTCTGCTCTGATTTACACGGTGGGAACATCCTCGATGGACCTGCATGGATCACAGCATAAAGGATATTTGTCTCATTAAAGGATGGAGCTGTCCACACGCACGAGTCCAATAACACTGCTGTCTGAGGTGCATGAAAAAGGGTCAACAGAAACAGGTGAACTTCATTTCTACACACATAAAAATTATGGTTCTTCAAGGGTTCTTTAGTAAAGGCAATGGTTCTATTTAGAACCATGAATGAACTTCATTTTTACACACTTAAAAAAGATAGTTCTTCTAGGGTTCTTTAGTAGGCAATGGTTCTCTTTAGAATCATGAGTTCTATGTAGAACCTTTTTCATGCTAATATTATTCTTTGTATAGTGAAATGGTTCTTCAGATTGATGGAGAAAGTGTGTATATGGCTCTGTAGAGCCTTTTTGAAAATGGTTCTTCTACTGTTACAAGCTTGACCGTAACCATAGTAAAACCCTTTTTGGTGCTACATAGAACCATTTTCAAATTGCAACAGTGCCAATGTGAATACGGTTTTCTATTCTATGGCTCTTTTTCATACACACACACACACAAACACACATATATATATTTACTCTTAATTCAGTAAATACTTTTACTAGTACTAGTAAACTATCACTATACTAACAGTATTTTTCCTTAAGTAGGGATTTTCAGTACCCTCTCCAGCCCTGTCCATTTTCAGTTTGCTGTTGTGCTGTAATACATGCCACATACTGTAGCTCACATTTTATAATAACATTTTTAAATAAATCTTATTCTGTCTGCAACTTGCTACTAGGCTTTAGTGGAACAGTATGGTGCAAAATCTGATTTTCTCCAGTTTCTCCTTACCTCTGATGTGGTTGATCAGTCAAGACACGTATGCTGTCCAAAGATTCCTTACTTTTGCACTAAAGCTACACTCTTAAAAAAGATGGTTTCTCAGTAAAGAAAATGGTTTTATATAGAACCATGAACATTCAAAGAACATTTTGCATGATTAAAGGGTTCTTTGAATCATGAAAGAGTTCTTCAGATTGATGAATGCATGATAATAGCACCCAAAAGGGTTCTTCAATTGTTACAAGCTTGACATCGTAAAAATAGAAAAACACTTTTGGGTGCTAAATAGAACCAATTCCAAAAAGGTTCTATATAGAAACATCTACACCTGACGAACCCTTTCATGATGCAAAGAACCCTTTAATCATGCAAAGGGTCCTTTGAGTATTCATGGTTCTATATAGAACCATTTTCTTTACTAAAGAACCCTTGGAGCACCATCTTTTTTAGGAGTACATGAGACAAATGCAGCTAACAAGTAAGAGGAGCATGTGTAGAGCAATTACAATTACATTACACACTTACCTCAAACAGCATCAATTTATAAAGTAATCTCAAATAAACATCAGTCCTACTACAGCTATGAGGGGGGTCTGGCCTTCTAGCTACAGGCAGAAGCTGCGCACAACTCCAGCCCAAGTTCTCAGAGTTCTCCCCCCTCCCTCAACCAGTCTTCCCTCATACTACCACCACATGTTGAAGGCATGGTCTGAACTCAGAAACATACTGTGCATGATATACAGTCAGAAACCGCCCTTCATTTTTACATTTCCAGTCAAAATCCCTCTTAAATACAAGCCTTATTACACGTTAGCCTCATAACTATAGTGCAAAACTAAAGAAGGTATTTATAGACACCAAATGGCTTGGCTGATCAACTATATTTGACATCATTTGAGTTGTTGTACTCCTTGAAATGTTGTATAAAGTGCTACTAAGAAGCCCATTCGCTCAGGCCTCTATAATTCTCTATACTTGAGTTTGTGATTTATGATCTTGTTGTGAAACAGGAGTTGAAAGTTTTCAGTGGTAAGATATGACAAATGATCAGCCTAAGCGAAGTAAAGCCCATCGATTGATGCAAAGGAACAAAAAGAGTGAATCACTTTCCGGTGGGATTCTTCCGTTTCGTCCGTTCGTTCCATTTCGGAATTGTCAGTAAAAGTCTCCACCCTTTCTAAATAGACGTGCACCTCATGTTCCAGAATGTGTGCTCTCATTCCACCTTTCACACCAGCATCATGTTTTACGAAGAGGACTGTTTTAGCACAGATCTTTCCCACCCTAGAGCCTTTTAATGAGGTAAAAGGAACGTAATGGCACAATAAAAAGCATCATCAAATGCCCGTTCATTTGATTTGCATTGCATTAAGGCTAGCCGCTGGCGTCAGCAGCCACTTTCTAGACCAAATCATGGCTGGTTTGTGCGAGCGTGTATATGCACGGCACTGGACAGCAGGTGTTACAGTGCAATAATTCTTGTTTTGAAGCGCAAATAAACCATGCCTTATTTCCTCCAATCATTTTATGGCATCAAGTTGTTAAGTGAGGTAATTACTCCTTTAATGCCCTGTTTATCATTTTCTATTGCCTTTTTTATCATATTGTCTTAATATGACGAGGATCAAAGTCCATCTTCTTAAGTGCTTTAAAGTGATCTGCATCCTTGTGCTTTTGTCATTTGTTTGTACTGCGGGTTTTGGAGAATGCTGAAGCTCGCTGGTGTCACCAGAGAGCAATTACAGCCATGAAGCATCAGTTAAACCAATAAAAACAGCCTTCTTTTTAAAATGACGTAGTTTTACTCATACTCATATTTGTATTGTCAACCTGATAATAAAACCACTGTGTGAAATGGAAACTGTATAGAAGAAAAAAAAGCACTTCATTATAATGTAGAGTGGCCCCCAAAAGTATTTGGACGCTTTAATCATTGACAAACTTCAATGAAGTTCTTCAGGTTATTTCATAAAATGTTTAATAAACTGATATTTTTTCACTTTTACCACTAAATCAGACTCTTTGTGTGGTGAAGGCCTGGAGAAGGATTCTAGCCAGACTGCATTAAGGCTACTGTAAAGCACAGAGTTGGAAACGTTAGGCTTGTCACAATATTTACATAATCATCTAATCGCAATTATTTTCCACAGTTTTTAGCTTTCACAGTCATATGTGTACAATAAAATAGGGCTGGGCGATATGGCCAACAATGTTATCAGGATAAAAATGTGCATATCAGTTGCTATTGATAATTATTACAATAAATGTCCATTATTTCTTTCAAGTTTCAAGACTGAATTTTGCTCTTGAGTGCAAGTTAAAGAAACCAGATGATTAATTGTGGTTTTAAATTATTCTTCACGATCAGAACATGACAAACACTCACCAGACAGAGGAAGATTTCACTGATCGTCATGGGATAGTGAGAGAAAGTTTCCCAGCTTAGCTCTTTTTACCATGCTGATTAAAGCAGCGCTCTCACACGCTCAGCACGGCCACAATTTTCATAATATTCATAACTTAAAAAAAGGACAGATTATTATAGCTGTCTGATGACAAGTGCTAGGCTAACTGGTTACAGGTCCTAAACTGTTTAGCTTCTTAACAATGCTGGCTCTCTATGTCAATTATAATAGTCAGCTGTTAAAAACAGCTAGCCTGGGAAGCTAGTGTCCTTCCACTCTCCCATGCCACACTTACAGCATCTTCAGTTTTAATTTCACCCACTTCTTTCTTTCACTTTTGTTGCTTGGGAATGCACTAATAGTAAAATATGACTGTTGGAGCACTGCAACACACAGACCACTTCAGCTGTAGTTGTGTGGAGCAGACGTGATTTAACGTTGCTAAAGCTTGTTAGGATGTTAGGACAGAAGTGACTTCACTCTGGGCCAGTACAGTTACGCCACTTATCCTGTTACTCACATTTAGTCACAGGAGAACAGATCGCTTATCGCTCCACTCAAACAGGAAAGGTACAACACCTTGTTTCAGATGTTATCCCGTGGTTTTTGAGTAGTCTGTCTGTCTCCATGAAATGCTGGCTACCCACATAGGTACCGCCTCTTAACATTGCTGTTGGAACAAAACCTCATATCACCAAAATGACAACTTCACAGGAGAAGGAAAAAACACACTTTACTTTAAATGTAAGTGAGTGGAACCAGACTTCTTTTCAAGTAATTTTGGGCCATTTCTTTTGCTCCATCCATCATACAAATTATGCACAATGTAAAGGGCAACAGGCATTTTCAAACTATGCCAAAAACTGGAAAACGAACAAAAATGAAGATATGAGGTTTTGTTCCGACAGCAGCTATATATATATATAAATGAAGTTGCATGTTTCACTTTTCATAGTGTCGCTTTTCGCTTTTCCACCAGGGCTGTCGCTAGAATGTGGAAGTGTGAGAATGGCCTGTTGTATCAAACATTTACCAAACATTTAGTTATAGAGCAACGCAACTAAGTCTCTACAGCTAGAAAGCAACATAGCTAGTCTGGCAGTTTTCCCTCTTCAGGCTTGTACTTCATTAGTTGCACACAAGGACAAAAAATAACAATTGTTGATCATAATTATTTATGTGGCAATTAATTATCAACTAAAACTTCAGGATGGTGATAAGGCTAAGAATGGTCTGGGGCTGTTTTTTTCCCAGTGGTGTTGGTGAGCTTGTGTGCATTGATGGGATCAAGAACATTAATGCTCCAACGATAACAGTCTGAAACACACCGGCTGCTTTTAGAAATAATACTTGAGAAAATCCAAACCAATAAAGTCTAGGAATGTGCTGTAATAAATGCCACTTGGTTTGACATTTTGTTTCCTAACACACAACTCATTAAATGGTCACAGTGTAAATGGCAGCTGGCCTTTTGAAATAGAGTAAAACAGGCTTAAAAAAGAAATAAATAGAGTTACAAGGTTTTAACATGATGACAACATACGTTACCGGTAATCATCCTGATGACATACACAGACAGCGCTGATTAGGGAAGTTTTTGTTTTAAGCTGTTTTTATTTAGTAAAATTCAGAACTACCAAGAGACATGCTTCACATTCAATAGTGTATGAGACAGTTGTGCACACGGAAGAGGAAATGTCAAGAGTTTTGTCAAAGCAGCATGTGAAATCAGCAACTGAGGAATTCGTGCTGAGTTGGGTTTCTCTTACTGTAACTCAAGTAAGACACAACGTTCTTAACAGTTCACCCAGTAAAAGTACCACTTACAAGTGTACAGAAGCACCTTATCACCGAGATCCCATGTTCTGTGTGAAGCAAATGGAAAAAATTGACAGGGAAAAAAGGAGAGACCTTCTCCGCACCATCATGATGTACTCCACCAACTGCGCATATGCATGGCCACATTTAAGAGACTTCAAGAAGGCTGAGGTATCCAGCTTGTAGGGCAAAAATGTCTGGGATGGTTTATACACATTAGAGGAGACTCTGTCTGGCCCTTTGCCTCTTAAACTGGTGGTGCAGTTGAATGATACAGCATGCAGAGCATGCATTAGGACTATCAACGATAAGGATGGACATTTATCAGTTAGGTTATTAATGATAAGAATGAAAAGGTCTTTTTGTAAGTTCGGCTTACAACACTTACGACTGCACCACATGCATTAGGAACTGACTGTGAACAAATAAGAGGGATACAAGTAAAAATGTTTTGATGCTTAGTACCTTTAAAGTTAAGCCATTTATTTGTTTGTTTGTTTTGGTCAACAGTTTCAAATGAATGGATAAAGTATTAGTATTTGAAACTTTTGTGCTCTTACATTTTGTATTGATTCAGGCTACACTCTTCAAAATAAAAGTTCCTAAATAGTTCTTGGCCTGGATTTTTATTTATTTTAAATGTTTTTAAGGCTGTCACTATCAATGATATTAGTAAATGAGTAATCTAGGGATTATTTTGACAATTAACCAAGGAATCATAAACATAATTTACTGCAAACATTTAATTTTACTTCATATACATGAAATTTGTAACTACAAACGTGCGTTCATAAGATCCTACTGGTGTGGGTTTCCTCTATTTATGATATGTTCACAAAAGTGATTCGAGTGCTAATAGCACCCCCTTGTAAAGAAAGTTCAGACTACTGAACATGGCTTTATAATGAGATGTTTTGCACTCAAATTGCAAAATAATTATTAAGCCAAATGTAAATTTGAATGGATTTGTTTAAAGCAACTGATTAAAGACCAGTAATCATGACAGCCCTAACTGTTTTCAAATGGTTTTTGTAAGGTTCTTCCCACTCTTACATCTAATTTTCAAAAAATTGCCCTTTAAAAGCTTCTTTAGAGAACCAAAGATGGTTCTTCTATGCCATTGCTTCAGAGAACCCTTTCTGGCACCCATGTTTTCAGAAATGTAAGTGGCAATGCAATGCTAGTGAACTGTAGCAGTGTTTCAGTTAAACCTCAGACACTGTTGGACAAAAGGGGTTCCGACTGTGTGGAATGTTGGAACTGAATTCGTTCCATCAGATAACTCCACAGCACAGGGATGTGTTGGAATGTAGTGGCCACATTCACTCAGTTCCCACAGATACAGAGCAGGTACACATACCAATTGCCTCATCCGGCTCCAGATAGTAACGAGAATTAGGTCACCCTCACTTCAACACCAGTGACATTCTGATTTGGGAAAAGTCAGTGGCAAGGTCAGATGTATAGGCTGTGTGTAGGTCAAATGAGACTGTGTTTGTTTAGCCCAGCTAACATGTACAGTAACAGCAGTTAACATGAAAAAGAGTCTGTCATGACACCTCAGCCAGCTCCACTGAGTGATTTGTCCTTGTGGGGAGAGAGCAGAAATGTACATTGGTGATAATGCTACAGTCCTTCACCACCATGATTTCAGAGTTGCTCTTATTAGAAGAAAGTTCATCACCAATGTGATCAGAACATCCTAGTGAGCAAAGTTTCGACTGGGCAGACAGAGCACGCTCCACTGAGTGAAGCCCGTTGGAGCTGTGGTCTGTTTCCGAAAGGTCTGACCTCGGCCTCCACAGGCTACCTGTGGAATGCATTTCCTTTAACATTTCACGGTCATTACCTGGAATGGGACTATGCCTGGGACTGTGATTCAGCACGTTGCCATTAGCGAGAGTGCCAAACGAGGAATCCACGACACTAATCCCAATAGAGGTAGTCATGTTTCCTGCAGCCATGCTGCCACTGCGCAACCTGTCATGCCGTCCAAGGAAGTGCTGCCGAATGATCCGGCGAAAAGTGTGCCTAAAGTCTCGGATGCGGTAAGCATAAATGAATGGGTTCACCACCGAGTTAGCATGTGAAAGGATGATGGCCAGGTACATGATCCAGACTGGAGGGCGGGCGCATTTGGGACAGAACAGCGTAAAGCAGTTGATGATGTGCAGCGGTAGCCAGCACAGGGCAAAGAGGCCCACTATTATGGCCAGAGACTTGGCAGCGTGGACTTCCCTCTGCAGTGTGGAGCGGGTTGAGGAGCTGTCGCTGTGAGAATGCCCATGCGACAGCTTCTGCTCCATCTGCCTGAGCTGTCGGCGTGCGGCCAAAAATATCCGCACGTAGATGACTAGCATGGCCAGCAGCGGCATGAGGACGCAGCCAAAGAAGTTGAAGTAAACCATGTAGTCCATACTGACTACTTGCTCAAACAGGCACTCCGTCATGCCAGCAGGACAAGAGCTGTTAGTGACGTTTGTGGCCCGCATGTTCCAGCCCAGCATAGGAGTCAGTCCGATGATCACTGACAGAATCCAGCACACCGCAATGATGCCTTTGGCTCTCTGGCTCGTCACAAGGCTGTTGTACCTGATTAAGAAGCACACACAGACACACAGGAGAGAAGATTTCCGAGGATAAGACACTGCACTGGGGGATAAACACCATTCCTAATTTGTACATGTACTCACAAGGCTGTCTCACAAAACATGTTTATTTTTGCTGCATGAAATTAACTTCCTGACAGAGGAAGTTCATTCTGTGCAAATGCTAGAACAGCGATGGCACAATACTACTTTTTCCTTTTTTTGTTACAGATATTGAAACCTCTTTCATGTAATAACTTTCAGAGGGATTGAACACTTCAGACTTCTGGTTCCAATCATCACCACTGTGAACAATTCTGACTCTGTAAGCTTATCTAGAGTGGCGCATTTCACATCAAAGCACCCTGAATGACTTTGTTCACATCTTAAAAAAATTAATTATGCAGACATTTTGAAAAATTGGTGGAATTCCTCTTTAGGGTGAGCTCAAACTACTCAAATGCTCCATTTCCCCACATGAAGAAATGCACAGCTAACAACATCCCATCACACAGCGTAAGCAAGTGCCATTTAGACTAGATTTGTTACAGGATATTAATTGGGCCCTAACTGATATTAATGGTTATCTGTATCGGGCCAGTATCCTCAGAAATTGCTGGATTGGATATCAGATGGAAAAAGAAAATGAATTCAACACAGCTTTTTCTGCTATTCTCAGCCTGATACTGATACCTATCTATACAAATTAAGGCCCAACCAACATACCAGCTGGCATAATAAAGGAGAAAACAAAGTTGAAGCTTAATTTTTGTCAAATAAAAAACAGCACAAAAGCAAAAAAGAATTCAGTAAAGGTTTTGGTTGTAGTAATAAACACAAACTTCACTGTCTGAGGCTGCTTAGCTTAGTCTTTTGCATTCTTCTCTGAAGCCATTTGAAACGGCCAGTTCATCTGATGTACGAGACGAGAGCTGACGCGATTTTACTCGTGTTACTTGCGTTTTTCCTGATACCTGTTTTGACTGATGAGAAACCTGAGAATGTCCTAAAAATGTACACCACAGCATACAGGCAGCCTGTTGTACAAGCATGGTGTCTGTCTGCAGCACAAAGCATGTTCAACCTATGTTTTAAAGTTCAATTATGTTAATGTGTGCGAACAATAGTGCCTTGCTATGATTCACATGACAGTTTTTTAAACGGGAGGTAAATGAGTTTTTACTGTCACTGGGGGCTGTTACTGTGGTATCTCACTTAACCAACACTGGGCACTGGCCTATAATGTGACAATAATTAGTGACTTTTTTTGGTCATGGCAACACCAGGATTCCAACTCATGATCTTCTAATGACAGGTCAAAAGCTTGTTACTTGTGCCAACAGACAGTGCCAGCTCTACCTAATAAGCGAAATAAGTGGCTGCTTAAGGCCCTTTGCCATGGGGCCCCCAAACAAATTCTGGGTTATTACTGTATCATTATGTTGTCGCAGATGCTGGAGTGAGGAGGAAAAACCATGTGGTTAATCATGTCTAACAAAAAGAACATACAAAGGTGGAGCTGAACACTAAGAAGGTAAACGATGAGGAGAAAAAGCTTAAAGATGAAGGTATACTTTATACTATTTATACTATTTTTGTTCTGTTAACATTATGCCATTTGTTTTGGCTTGTAGTTGGACAATAAGAAGTCGATCTAGGGTCCGTCTAACAAGGCAAGTGTAAATTAGACAGGTTTTTAGACAAAGTTTCAGCTTCACAAAACCTAACACACACGTGGTTAACTTGTTAACAGCGGTTAACAACTTTCTCTGATGATTCAGTTTTAGAGACTGTGTTATCTGTGTTATCCTCATGCATGCTTACATGAAAACGTGATGTTTATGAGGAGCAGCTAATTGCACGAAACATGAGGAGTTGACAAAGAAGAAAATCACTACCTAAATATAGAACGTCAAACATTTATAATGGTAAAAATGCAATGCTGTCGCCACTGCCAACAGGGTTAAATCCAACCAAGCTTAAAGTTAGCTGGGTAAGCAAGAAATACTGCATCTTCAGACACTTTTAAACTTTTGTAACTTAAATTTTTAACTTATTAGAACCTCGAACAAACATCCAATCATCAGCAATGAACTAATTTAGACAGCTTGTGGTATTCATTGCCCAAGAAATCTTGCTTAGGGTAAGAGCCAAGATTCCAATAAGAGTATCCCTTGTTAAAGTATAACAGCAATACTAAACTGTTAAATCAGAACATCATCAAACATCAACATGGTTAAAATAACAAAAAACTGTAAAACATATTCAAACCTATTCCAAATCTAAAATGAAACTCAAATTTATAAATACGTCAGCTGATTGGAATTTTAGCCCCTCAAAATTTTCAGACACAAGATTTTCACATCAGTAGAGCCCTAATACAAATATCTATATATAAAAAGCATATTAATAAATAAATAAATAAATAGCTGTTAGAATATGACATACTTCTCCTTTCAAATACTCACTAACGATGCCTTGTATGTTTCCTGGGAAAGGCTATTGTTTGAGGACTAGGCGCTCTAATTTAGTTGAACAATGTCCAAAAGTACTAGGATATGCACAAAGGACGTATTTCCTACCTGTAATGTAACTCTTGTCGTCCCAAGAGATCACAGCCATTCTTGTTGATTTATGACCATTCAAATGACCTAATATTCTAAATTTAACCTTTTGTGTGATATATTTGGAAAACCTACACAGGAGAGGGAGAACTGTAACAAGTGAACAAGTGATGGAAAGATCATTGGTTCTTCAAATATGAATTTGTTTATTATGTGTCTGAATTTATTTCCATGTACACCAGCACCATAATATACAGCAGCTAAAATTAAGTGTGAGTGTAGTGTCTGCTGTTTATAGAAGGGAAGAGCCAGTTGTTAGAAATCACACCATTATCACCATGCCCCCCTTTTATTTTGACCAGCACATAAAACATCCAGCTCTACAGCATGCATCTTCTCCCAAGTGGCGTCTGGTAAGGGAGCAAGGTCTAGTGGCAATTGTTCAAATAATCCAGGGACTCAAATCTTACTCACAGAGGACAGTAGTGGATAGCAGTTCATTAAAGCCGGCAGACTTACACGGGCTCCAGAGCTACAAATACCTACAATCGCCCGACCACAGAGCCCACAGCCCTTATGCAATCAACACCTGTTAGAGCTTTTCTGCTGCAGATACTCCAGCAGAGCAGCCAGGACTACATAATGAGCCAAACCCAGCATCATTTCTCCAACAGACCTGAAAACTAGTTGCTATGGCTCACTCCGCTGTCATCAGTGCCTTCTAAGTTACTGGACATTTGATTTGCATATGAAGACACTGTCGGTATCATTCATGGTAAAAATGCACTTTGGCTGTGTAAATGCAGGATATCGCTGTTGTCAGAAGAAAACCTCGTATCTCCAAAATGGTAACTTTACAGGAGAAGGAAAAACATACTTTAGTTTTAATGTAAGTCAATGGAACCAGACTTGTTTCCAAGTCATTTTAGCTCATTTCTTTTAGTCTATTCATCAAGAAATTTACATACAATGTAAAGGGTAACAGATATTTTCAAATTATGTCAGAAACTGAAAAACATCAAAAATGGAGATTCTGACAACAGCAATATACTGCAATAAATGCTGTACTGTTTAATAGGGAATTCCTCTGATTTTTCAAAGTCTCTGTGTAATTAAATCATTAAAACATGAACAAAGTAATTAGTAATTCAGAGTGGTTTGATGTGAAATGCTCCATTCTAAAGAAACTTACCAACCCAAAATAGTTCACAGGGGTGGTGATAAGAACCAGACGTCTGCTTTGAAAAGCTACCTCACAGAAAGTTACATGAAATGGTTAAATCTACACTACCTGATGCTGAGACACTGAGTTACGAGAGTTTAGAGGTAAGTTTTTGGCCTATTGTAACAACTGTGACCATTGTAACAAAATCTGAGTCAGCAAGTTTCTCTACAATGAACCTTTTTACATCAAAACACTCAATGATTTTGTTTCAATCTCAAAAACTAGACATTTGTAGACATTTTGAAACAATTCCCCTTTAACAATGAAGGCATTGCACATGCGTGAGGAGAAAATAAAACAATGAATCACAGCCACTGTTACTTTAAATTTAGTTGTCTCTGTAACGTTTGTGTACTTGCTGCACTGTAACTGAGGGTAAAAATGAATTATTGCAGAGAGAGGAATCCAAAGTGTACTGAATAAGGCAGTGAGCATGAGCTCCTCAGTCATCTAAAGTAAATCACAATTTGGCTGTTTATCAGTTAAGGTAATTAAATGTCTCAGCAGTACAAACAAACTTGCTGTGGAGATTACATAAAACCAAAACCACACAATGTTATTTTCTCATTTACTAGACCACAGTCCATCTGTACACCGTTTCCAAATTTATGAGCTTATTCTTTTTACTGTACATCTGCTTATGTTGCTCTATTTGAATGGGAAATGAAGCCAATCTGAAACACTGATAAGAATTACAATATGATCTTTGTCCATTATCAGCCAACATCAAAGAGGAAGCATTATTAAGTCAGTGCGAGAGCTTTGCATGCAAAAATGTGAAAATGCATGGAAATAAGTGTAGATGCAAATATTCTAATGTAAATGTACAAATACAAACACGTGTGGAAGCATAAAAGCAAAAACAGTGTCGCTGCCCTGAGTAGTGCCCATTAGCGTAAACCTCTGACCTCATAATGATTCAATTCAGTTACAACGTTTTATGAAAATCAATGGATCATAAGAAACAAATATCATCGTGATTCACTTAATAAGGTAGGATTCAGAATTGCTTTCCAGAATACACTAAATAAACAAATGTGACTGGTTAAGTACAGTTGTGTGCAAATGTTTGAACAGCCCTGGTCAAATTACATGTTTTGTTGATTCTTGTACGTGAAAATAAGTTAACACACGGAACAAACTTATATGTTTAAAAAGAAAAGGAATTTTATTTTGGCCAAAATCTTTGCTTCATTTAATATTACTGTAATTATTATTAATTAATAATTATATTAATTATAATGTTAGACTGACACTGCTGAACTGCCACTTTCAGTGATGCAGTGATGCATTTTTCTCAGCAACACATACTGTGGTAGCAGAATGTGCTCTTCCACAGAAGTGTGTGGTACCACAGCCCTGTGTCAATGAGTGAGTCATTGTACACTTATCAACTACAGTGGCATGCAAAAGTTTGGGCACACCTGGTCAACATTTCTGTTACTGTGAATAGCTAAGCGAGTAAAAGATGATCTGATTTCCAAAGACATAAAGTTAAAGATGACACATTTCTTTAATATCTTAAGCCAGATTACTCTCTTATTTCCATCTTTTAGAGTTTCAAAATATCAAAAAAGGAAAAGGGCACAAAGCAAATGCTTGGGAACCCTGCAAGGTCAGTACTCAGTCACCCCAATTTGGCAAGTATCACAGCCTGTAAACGCTTTTCGTACCCAGCTAAGAGTATTTCAGGTCTTGTCTGGGAGATTTTTGCCCACTCTGCCTTCCAAAAGGCATCTAGTTCTGTGAGACTCTTGGGCCGTCTTGCATACACTGCTCTTTTAAAGTCTATCCACAGATTTTTAATGGTGTTTAGGTCGGGGGACTTTGATGGCCATGGCAAAACCTTCAGCTTGTGCCTATTGAGGTAGTCAATTGTGGATTTTGAGATGTGTTTATGATCATTATCCTGTTGCAGAAACCATCTTATTTTCATCTTCAGCTTTTTATAAACAATGTATTTAACTGAATTCTTTCTTCCCTCTACCACTCCAGAGTCTGTTAAATCTTCCTGAACATCTTTGGCAGTCAAACGGGGGGTGTGATTTGACTTTCTAGAAGTCCTACGAGCAGTTCTCTCGCAAAGTTTTCTTGGTCTTACAGACCTCAGCTTGACCTCCACCATTCCTGTTAACTGCCATTTCTTAATTACACTTTGAACTGAGGGAATGGCTACCTGAAAATGCTTTGCCATCTTTTTATAGCCTTCTCCTGCTTTGTGAGTAACAATTATTTTCATTTTCAGAGCGTTAGTCAGCTGCTTAGAGGAGCCCCTGGCTTTAATGGTTAGGACAAGGTTTGAAGAGTCTGAGCATTTATAAAGCTTTTGAAATTTGCATCATGTGCCCTTTCCTAACAATGACTGTGAACATGCCATTGCTCTAACAAGCTAATGGGACCTTGGTTAAAGTTATCTGAGAGCGCATCTTTTGGAGTGCCCAAACATTTGCATGGTGCTCCTTTCCTGTTTTTCACTCCAAAATTGTAAAAAAACCAAAAATAATACACTAATCTTGTTTAGAATGTTGAAAAGAATGGTTCATCTTGAACTTTATGCCTTTTGAATATTAGTAATCTTATACTCACTTAACTATTCACAGTAACAAAAGACCAGGGGTGCCCAAACTTTTGTATGCCTTTGTATGCTTAGTTACAGCTTAATAACAGCTACAGTAATAGTGGGGTTGCTCCTCTCATTTTGCTGCATGTAAATGAAGCACCATCATGTGATGTGCAGTATTACAAATTACCATCAACCAGCAACATCATAATCAAGAAAAGCTGCATGTGACATAGAGGTAGGAATGGGATATATGGCCAAAACTGATAGATGATATGCAATACATATAATAATATTTAGTGTTTCTGGGGTTTGCTAACAAAGTGGAACAGACACAGAATACCAGCAAAACAGTACACTCTTATAAATGAAGGTCCCTGAAGGGTCCTTGGCTTGGATGTACAGAACATACTTTAAATGGTACAGAACCTTTAAATTACGTAGAGATTTTTTAAACTTTAAAAAGGTTCATCACACTTGAATTTACATTTAAAATGTTTCTTTGAAAGGTTCTTTAGGAAACCAAAAGTGGTCCTTCTATGGCACTGCTTTAAAGAACACTTTCTGACAGCTTTATTTTTAAAGGGAACTTCCACAGATTTCTCAAAATGTCTGTATAACTAAATTATCAACGTTGAAAAAGCCATTCAGAATGTTTTAATGTAGAATCCTCCGTTTTTAAGAAACAGAATTGTTCACTGTGGTGGTGACAGGAACCAGACGTCTGAGGAGTTTAAAGCCTCACAGAAAGTTATTACCTGCAATGGTTACAAATACGCTGCCTGATGTCTAAGACATTGGCTGTGTTCAAAATAGACAGCTACATACTGCTCGCATATTCAGAATGTGACCAACATGAATTTCTCCAGTACGTCAAACATACCTGGATGATGTCTGACTCCAGCAAGATATTCCAGATATCCTGCAGCCAGAGCTAACTTCGTGATAGACTGCATCCCAATATGCAGCTCAGTTTAGGAGAATGTAACCACTGACGTAACTGCCTGGTTTGCTCCGAATAGTTTAACAGCCCTGGATTCAGTCTTTTATGGATACATAAATGAAATGAACATAAATAGTTTGTCCTGCTGCTGCTTTCTTTGCTGGTCTTGAGATGGATTTGCTTACTTTGTCTATTTAATAAAGTTAACTTGCTGTATAAATAACATGATTATAACCACAACTTAATAAAGTTGGCCTCAAACAAACAATCCTCTCAGCACTGGCTTGTCAGGGTCATGTTTGGAGTCACACTGCTTATTATTCAAACTAGCTCATATCACCAACTACCATTGTAATAAAAATGAAATGATTTGCAAGTGGGGGAAAACAGGTGTGTTTGGAAAGCACAGTGTTTTACCACACAGACCAAGCCAAAACTGACGTTTTTATAGTTTGTTTGTGGCTTTGGAGATGAGTAGAAAACAACCTCCACTCTGTCATGGTATCTTACAAAACTCTGCAGGCAGGTCTCTTGACCAAAATATATACACATATGTAGCTAAAGACATGAGCTGAAAAAAGCTGAAAAGTTTGTTAAGCTGCTAAGCAGTAATTTGAGGGATGTGGAAAATCGGCCGGGCTTGAGATCAGTCTGATTGGTTCAGTTCCTGATGATGACCATCTAGTCGCACAATTTTGTCCTGTACTGGATACTGTACTGTATGCTAATATTAAGAGTAGCATGCAGTATACAGTAGATACTATTGCAGTATTCAGTATGTAATATAGTAGTATGGCATTTCGAATACACCCAACATTTTATGATTGTTTTGACATAAGCTTTTGGCCTCAAATGTCATTTTTAAAAGTTATTCATGTCAGAGAGGTACATGCAGGGCGTTGTAAGGCAAAATAGACCCAGAAGAAAACATTTCAGATTTACCACTATTTGACCATTACTAACACTACATATAAAGATTTGTAGGCTCACTGGTCATATTAGATAGTAAATAAAATGACTATATTTGTGTTGTAGACATTGTGACCCCTGGTTCCTATCACCACTATTGTAAAGAGAAGTCAGTACATTTCTGTACATTGAACCATTTCATATGAAACCATTCTGAATGACTTTGTTTACATCTTGACAACTAAATTTTTGAGGAATTATGGTGGAATTGCCCTTGTGAAAAACTATACTATCAGCACACATATGTTTTTTATTTTTATTCAACAACTTGAATAAGAAATATTATTGTTATAAAAAAAGACAATGGCCATTGTTTAAACAGTCTAAACAATTACTAATAAATATAAATCTCTTCCGGCTGAATATCAAAAATATCTGCAATATATGATGTAATTTATCACGATAACGATAATATATTGTTATATTGCCCATCCCTACACGTGGCCCTCTGTGTTGATCTAGTGAGCTCTCATCTGTGCAGCGTTTTTACTCACCTCAGTGGGATCTTGATGGCGATATAGCGGTCCACAGCGATGGCGAACAGGCTGAAGATGGAGCTCTGCGTGAGCACCAGCACAAAGCAGGCAATGAACAGGCAGCCGTGAAAGTTGCTGCAGAAGCCCGTGCTGATGGTGATGGCGAAGGGGATAGCCAGGAGCCCCACTGCGATGTCGGCCACGGCCAGGGAAACCACAAAGAAGTTGGTGATGCTTTGCAAGTTGCTGTTAAGGCACACGGCCCAGCAGACCAGCACATTTCCAGCCACGGCCAGCAGTGCGATCAGCAGCTCCAGGGATATGTAAACTACAGAGACCTTGCTCACCATGCTGGCTGAATGGTGGGTGTCATCCGCCAGTGTGAACTCTCAGCTGCACTCATAGCTGAGCCTCAGAGCTCCCCCTGTGGAGTGGCCAGCACTCGTGCTTCGAGCAGCTTTCCCTCTGAACAGGTGTGAGGACAATCTGAGGGATGAAGATGGTAAACTCCCTTCCTGCCCCTCCTATCCACACCGTCTTTTTCTTAGTGACAAAGCAGGTATTGTAGGCGTGGTGCCATCTGTTAGGTCACTACGTCAAACGTCCAGACGATCCTGCTATTACTCCTGACGTATTTGCAACGTGGCCTCCACTCGACTTTGCTGACCTCCGTTCACCCCTCTTTCCGGCTCTCCTGGGTCAAGTATAAACCATCTCAGTCAAACAGACGTTGGAGAAGCTCCAGCAGAAAGTCACTCTGAGGTCCCTAACCCTGCAGACAGAACAATCACATCAAATACTGGAAGATCAGCCTCCCTCTGCTAGCTAGGTCAAAAAAGCAATCCATCTCCTAAACAGAAGGTCAGTTTCCCACAACAGAAATATAAGACTGTCCAGTGTCCAACAATACGGTTTTATTTTAGGACTGCCTTCACAAATATTCATGAAATATGTTTGTAACTCTGCAGTTTATCATAAGACCAGGCTGTGTTTCCTCTCCGGTCTACAGGAAGTGTGCATTTGAACTTTGCAGTGATTGTGCTATTATTGGCTTAAGCAATGTAGAAGAACAAGTATTCTTTTGTACTTGCATTCACATGAATCTGCTTAGTGTGACCCAGTGCAAAGTTTTTCCTAAACTGCTTGAAAATGAGTCAGCCTTTCTTATGGAGATAAATCATAAATCAAAGGCCCTTATCTTGCGTCTGTTTGTATTTGAATGTTTTCCTTGAGGTCCACTTATAACATCTGTGTGGTTTTATGTACCAAAAACAGTCGTAATTTTATATGACCATTTTCCAACCCTTTGACTTTGGCTGGTTTTGATACTGTGCCTTTAAAGGGCCCATATCCAAACTTTTTCTTTTATTTTATTTTTGTCCCCTAAGTTTAACTTCTAACATATATGTCGTTTTATGTATGAAAGAGAGTCATAATTCATTTTTACATGACCATTTTCCAACCTCACTTTATCTCTTAGAATTAAATAGACAGATTTTGTTACTGTGCTTTTAAGTGTATTATATGTAAATGAGCATTGTTCTGATTGGCTGTCCTGTATTGTGCCACGTTCAAAAAGCAGTCCAGATGGAGACACTCTGTATAACTTTGCATGAATGGGCAGGGCTAAATGCTGTGGGCTAAATAGGTGGATATTTGTAAATGCACTGTTTTTTTGTGACTTCATGAAAACAGTGAATTCAAAACCGGCTTTGTTTCCATACTTGGACTGTATGGACAGAGGAGTGAATGGTAAGTTTTAAACTTTAACATACTACATCAAACATTTATTTCAGAACACTGAGGAAAATTCAGTTTCCCACGGTATGGGTCCTTTAAGACTGATGTATGTAAATGATCTCTGTTCTGATTGGCCATCTTGCATTGTGTCTCATTCAAAAAGCTGAAACACTTCTTAAAACTTCATCATGAACAGGCAGGGCTAAACAGTTTTAGGCTAAAAATAGGTGGATATATGTAAATGCACTGAATTTTGTGACATCACAGAAACTGTGAACTCAAAATGGGCTGTTTTTGCAACTTCGTTTACATATATGGACTATATGGACTGCAGAGTGAACAGTACATTCGGATGCTTTAACAATCTAAACATGCTGTATCAAATGCTTTTATTTCAAGAAAGTAATATTCAGTTTCCTGTGATATGAGCACGTCAAACACTGCATGCATGGTTTTGCGCACTACTCAACTGTGTCAACATAAATAACTAACCTCTTGTAATGGGCACTTCTCGCTCTTTGATTCCAGATGCCAGCCTCAATAAAGCAGTGACACGTAGCGACTATTTCATAAGGCAAAAAGAACAAAGAAAAAACAAACAGAAACTGTGATAGGTTCATGTCTGTGTTTGAGATTATGAAAAGAGAAAACCCAGAGAGACTATTTGGAGTCTATTTTTGGGTTTCAGGAGAAGTCCTTTATACTCCAATCATTGGAAACGACTTTACAATTCAGTCACAGAAATGCTAATATTAGATAAGCTTTTCTTTCTCTGACTGACATGATTTTCTTTTTATAGTACAATGACTTGTAGTACAATGAGGTGTAGTAGCTGATTCCCTTGAGGAAGAGATACGAGCTGCTTTCATGCAGTTTCTGTGGCACGGCAGTTCTCCTCGCAGTGTACCACACGTCTTTCACAATTTCCTGAGAAAGCTCAACGCGGCTGCATGCATGCAGAAGGCTTTGTGTGCATCTGAAAGGGACTTTCCGATTGGTCTTGTTATCACATTGAATGTAATAACGTAATGTGGCGGCACCTGAGAGGAAGTCTGCAGACCACATTTCACCCTCAGACAGAGACACGGTGTACTTAAGCAGAAATAATGAAAATGCACTGCTCTCATTTCAAACAGTCAAACTATGGCAGGGTGTAAGGATACATTTTTGACAATGATAAGCATGTAAAAATACATACAGAAACGTCTACCACGTAAAGACAGCCAAAACGTTTTTTATATGTAATGACGATAAAGGTAAACTAGTGGTAAATCCAAACGAAATAAATATTCTTTGGTACCTATTTTGCCTTACAACACTTTACATGTACCTCTCTGCCATGTATGTACTTCAAAAACTAAATTCCAGGTCAAAAACTATTATAAAACAATGTCTCAGGCGTCAGGCAGCACATTTATAACCATTTCATATAATAACTACAATAAGTGGCTTTAAAGGCTTCAGACATCTGGTTCCTATCACCACTGTGAACAATTCAGACCCTGAGCATTTCATATTAAACCACTCTGAATGACTGTGTTTATATGATCACCACTGAATTATTAAGAAACTGAAAAATCGGTGGACCTCCCCTTTAGGAAAACAAAGGAACAAACGGGTTGAACTGAAGTTAAACTCTTCATTGTATTCATTCACTGATGTGAGGGAACACTGCATGCTGATGGGAAATGAGACATGATAAGTTTATAATCAAAATTAAACAAGCAATATTTACTGAACTAGAACAGAACAGAACTTTGTGTCCATCTACGTTGGAAACTTGTCTGTATAATGCTAATCAGATTCGTCAGTCACATTCAGCTTAAACGATGACAGTGGAAATGAAGGCAAAACAAGACCTTTGATGGACTTCTGCTGAACTCTGACCGAACATGAAGAGCAAAACCGAAAAATGAGTATTCATACTAGCTCTAAACTAAAAGCTGATAAACGAAAAAAGAGAATAAATTAACCTTAAACTGGTGAAGGCCACTCACCTCCGCTGTGGTTCTGCAGTGCTGACTGACTAGCGTTACCTGACTGACTGCTGTGGACGTGCTAACCCGCAGCAGAGCGCTAGCGTTAACTGTCACTAACGGCCGGCTAGCGGCGCTAGCAAACCTCTCTAACTTCACTTTCTGACAGGTTGGACACTGTAAACCACAGATTAGACTGCTGCTGGAGTAGTAGGGTCTGACTGCAAGGAACATAGTATAGTGCTGCTGGGTAGTAAGACCTTTCAGATCATTTCCATCAGTGTTTAGAAGCTTCGGCAATGCAAAAATAGTTACATTTCTCCAAGTAACATTTTCAAAAACGTAAAAACTGCAAAAAAAAATGTGCAGAGAAGAAACAACGGTCAGTCAGCGATGCTGTGGATGGTACGTTATATGTACTATGCTCAATATTATTAACTGATATTGTGCAAAATACACGAGGTAGCTAAACTAACCTACATAGGTTAGATAAATAAAGCTTCTGGATGACCAAACTCATGTCCACTAGCAAAAAAGTAAGTTAAACTAGTTAACCTAGCGTTAAAGGAACAGGGGTCAAGTTGCTAGAAAATGGCTAATTCAATAAAATGAAGACTGATTTTCAAACCTGAGTCGTCAAACCTGTAATGTAGTAGTAATAACGAGGCTAAAGTTGAAGGTTCTTGTTTGAAATTTCTCGTTCCACCTTAAATGGTGAAGCAGTTAAATCCTGGCGCCTTACTCTGAATAAGGATCTGACCAGTTCAGTGCAGCAGCAGCAGTAGTAGGGTGTTGGTATCAGTAACGTTACATACCTCACATGTAGGTATCGCAGGTGGGTAAATCTCTGTTCAGCATCCTAGAGAACATATATATCTGAAGAAAAGGTGTGGATAGCAGGTCCCAAACTGTTCCCCATCGGCTCACTTCGAAAAAAGTACTCATATTAAGCCAGTAAAGCGCAGCTCGGAGACCATAAGAACGGCTGAGTGTTGTTTTACATTGTGAGTTAAGCTCTAAGTAAAAGTCAAAGCAGACTCGTTTCTGAGGGGGGAGCCGAGAGGCGCTTTGCTCAGTGACTGAATGCGCTCTTCTCGCTATTCGAGTTTCTCTCCACTCCTCCCCCTCCCAAGAACACCCCCCCCCCAACCACACACACACACACACACACCCCACTCATCTTTACTTGTGTCTGAGGGTCGTGCAAGTCACTGCGTGTCACTCGAAGGAACTTTGATCCAGTTTATCGATCACATTATGGAAGGAAAGCACCTAATTAGATTAAGTATTATTTCCCCGCTCATCACGTAACTATACTTACAGTAAGCATTAATTCACAGGTGATCAACAGACAAGGGCGTGTGCAGACGGGACCCATTCATCAGTGGCCAAGCAATAATAAATACGTAAATAAATAAACAAACAAGTAATTATTATTATTATTATTATTATTATTATTATTATTATATGCATAATTATGTATAAAATACATAAGTGGCCAAGCATAAAAAAGAACAATAATAAAAGAAGAATTCGTACACAACGCAATATGCATCATGAAGTGTAAAATACATAACAAAACTGGTATTTAAAGCATAGAAGGTCAAAATGAAATAGAAGAACAATAAAAAAAAACACACCAGTGCTGCCTCGTGCTGAGGGTGCACGTCATGGCACAGATATCCTGTTTCACTCGACTTTTGTATTAAAATTAACGCAATCAGGAAGCCAGAGACCAGGCAGGTTCCACATTTAACCAAGCCAGCCATCCACCAGTTCACTTCCTAAACTTTACTGAAACTACCTACGCACATTAAAAGCGAAGTGTGAGGTTTATTATTAGCTTCTCACCTCATATAAAATGCAATAAAGGAAATACACCAACGTATTTCCTTCTGTGATCAAGTTTAGGCGCTTCTGCAGCTACTGAGCTCTGGTTTTCTTTCTGTTGGGCCTTTAGTTCATACAGTCTGGAAAAAAGCCAAGCTTTCTCATGTCTGACCTGATGCTCATTAAGCTGATCACATCCTTGAAAGCACAGTTGACTTTTGTCTTCAAGAGCTCAGATTGCTGGGATCAGGAGCATGATGAGGCTGATGACCATCAGCAGTGCTACTTGTTTTGGTCGCACGTGTCCTTGGATTGACCCACATGCTCTCATTAATCTTACAGTAGTGCAGTGGTGGGTGCAGTCCAGTTCTCACCGGATACATGCAGAGCGCTGCCTCAGGATCAGGAGAATAAACCTGCCACATTATCTTAACTAGATCTCCTCACCTAATTAGAACAAACATTTTTACACTATGTTAAACGTACATAACTCTTTTTCTGTTTAAAAGTATATTAGCAGTAAAAGTATATAAGTAACTTAGTAACAAAATACAGCCTAATGCTATAAAACATTTTTTTAAAGTTTTGATACCTGCCTACCTTGTTTATTTGTACAGTCATATGCAAAAGTTTGACTGACCCCAGTCCTATTACATTTTGTTGATTTTCGTAATGCAAGTAAGTAAACCCCTTCAGGACATGTTCTGCACATTTTAATGCAGAATTTCAATGTACTTGTTTAACATATTGGTCGGAACAAAACCTCATGTCTCTAAAATGATAACTTTACAGGAGAAGGAAAAAACCTACTTTACTTTTAAGTCAGTGGAATCAGACATTTTTCCAAGTCATTTTGGGTCACTTCTTTTGGTCCATTCATCATGAAATTTATATACAATGTAAAGGGCAACAGGTACTTTCGAATTATGTCAAAAACTGAAAACGTGAGGTTTTGTTCAATGGCGAAACGATTGTGCATTAAAATATTCCAAAGTGTAAGTGTGTCCTCTGTAGAGGATGTGTACTTTTTTTCATTAAAAAAAAAAAAATTAGCCAGATTTTTTGCATATGACCATATTGTTTTATATGTTTGGCCCTCAGCTCACCACACAATGCACTTTAACCTTTCCCCACCCCCAGACAAAAAGTTTAGGCACAATCAGCATAAATGACATAATGACACATAAATAATCTTTTGGTCAGAGTAATCATTTATTGGTGTCAGACTTGCACATCTAGGGAAGTTTTTAAGGAAATAAGTAACAAGAAGTCCAGGTATGAATTCTTTAATTTACAAGTAGGAGACGTAATTGACAACCAGAGAGGATCAGTAAACGGTGCTACAAGAGTGTAATAATGTACTGTCTCACATCCACATCTATGGCAATTCAGTTCAAACTCACACGACTGACAAAACCAGTTGACTAGATAATGACACAAAAAATGCATTTCAGTGAGTGAAATCTTGATAAATTGCAAAAAACGTGAGGTTAATCTGTAAAGCTAATGTAAAGTTATTTTGTCATTTGTTAACATACGACTGGCCTGTTTCACGATCTGGTCAAATTTCGGAGGTAAAATCAGCTGACACCATAACCGGATGAAATGTCCTGTTTATCAAAATAACGCATTAATACCGAGTTGCTAACAGCAGCTTTATGATACATAAACAAATCTATTCCTCGTATTGTCGAATAACCTCCTTTTTTATTATCCAAACTCAGCAAAGCACTCTGCCTATGGAATAAATTACAGGTTGTGCCTTTTTTCTTCAGATAAATGACATTTAACCCAAAATATATATGCACTACAAATACTGTACTGTACAATTATAACATTATCCCTTGCTGTGGATCTCAAAATCTTGGAATAAATTTCTCAGTTGCTTCAAATATATCTGACAATACCAATGTATGGTGGCAAAATAGCATGGAAATATCTTTATATTATAGTACTTAAGGCAGTGCAGCAAGACATCAGAGCAAGTAGAACTTTGCATTTAGGTTAGGTTCTGTGTTCTAAGAGTCTTTTCATCCTTCAAATGACACTTTTGAAATGTTTATGGTGCTCTTGGCTTTATGTTTGTGCAGAAGCATAGCTTAGATTGAGCTCCAAACAGGGGAGCCATTTAATGCACTCAGAAATATACAAGAGGATGGGTGTTGTTTCACATTACAATTTAGCATACAAACATTCAGTCCTATTTTGTGCTTTGAGATCAGTAAGAAGACAGCTAGATAGCATCGCAGGAGTCAGCTAGGTAACCTGGGTATCAGAGTAAAGCTCACTCACTTTGTTCAACCCAGCATGGTGCTGATTACAATCAAAAACCACTTTCAATACTTCCGCTCTTCAGAGGCACTAAGTGAGCCAGATATCATTTTTGGAAGCAGCGAGATTCTAAGAAAGGATACGGGATAAAAACAGCTCTGGAGTTCAGTGAAAGCAGCCAAGTTAGGAAAGTTTCTATCCTATTGATAACAGAAATGCTTTCAGATTTGCATACAAAAGGCTGCTGCTTTTTGAATTACAAAAGGCAATGAGGAATTGTTTAGAGAATGACTGAAAACAGCTTGCTTAGGCAAATGTCCAGGGGTGATGCTGCTGTTGAAAAAAATAGTAGCTGTGAGTGTTACTTCTGAGGTTACTGACCGCCTGTGACTTACTGTGGAAAAAAAATAAATAATGCCAACAACAGTACATTTTAAGCTGTCAGTTAAGTAGCCAAATCGAGTCTGAAATGTAAATCATATGGAAACAAAAGGCATATGACTGATTCCCATGAAACACAAATGCAATCACACTGACACAAAACCAGACTATGGGCCTTTACACCTTGCATTAACATGTGTTTTTGTGATCGAATTTCACTTGACTGCATGAAAAGCCAGGTGTAAACACCCCCAGGACGCATTGTGTTCGGATTACATTCGGATCACTCAAACCACATTTGGAGGTGGTCAGAGAGGGATCTCGACTGCGTTTAACAAGTGTAAACGGAGCGCAATTTCGTTATCCATATACAATTACGTGAGCAGAAATGCGTCTGCCGAGCTCTGACTAGCAGGTGAGATTTTAATCAAGGAAACTTAAGATGGAGGATACGCGAGCCTGAGGTTAGCCCAAACCAAGAGCTTTCATGCACTCCAGGCCAAGAAAAGCGCCCAAGCCAAGTTTGTCGACTGATGTCGTAACGGAGAAATAAATAAACAAATGTAAAAGGAAGTGACATATGAGCCGACATGCTTTTTTACGTCAGAAAAGTACAATTGCATCTCATCTGGTCATACTGGAGATGCATTTTAATGAAAAGTGTAAATGGAATCCAGCCAAAGTTTATCCAGTTAAGATCTGGATATGAAATACATGTTAATGTAAGGTGTAAACAGACTATGAGCTATGTGGCAAAGGCAGCCTTGGGAGAATCACTCTTTGTAATAAATACTAATACTAATTACTGAATCAATGAGAGGCAAGGCACCATTACCACCATCAAGCCACTGGTGAAGTCTTCATCAAAAAGACTAAAAATTAAGCCAAACATCTTGAAATTACATTTTGTTTAACAGAGAAACTGGCACAATGGAATGTATTACAAATGTTGATGAAAATGAAGATCAGCGATGGTCCAGCATTACAAAAAAAGTTCACATACAGCTGCCTGTCCAAGTAGGTGGAACAATAGCTTATGGGGAAAATACAAAAATGTACCTGCACAGCAGCCTTGGGTCATTTACAGAAAATGCATCCTGCATGAGAATCGCGAATGAATGAGCAAAGAAGCTCAGCTGTTTCTGTGACCACATGTGAGCATGTGATTAATGTGTAAGCACATAGCATGTGATTTAAAAAAAAAAGGAAAAAGAAAGATAAAAATAGATGTTGCAAGTTTGCACAGCTTTTGTGAAAGGTCCTTGTTAAAGGCTTTACCTCCTTGTCAATAGCAATAATGCTAGAAGAAGGCTGGACATACACATCCACATCCACACCCTCACCCCCCACCCCCACCCCAATGCCAGATGAGGGATCTGCAAAACGCAGTCAGAACAAAATGCAAAAACAATGCATCTGAAATGTCTGTTTCATAGGGACTCTTGAGCTGAAGGTACGCAGCGGAACGTCTCTGCTGGCCTGCAGCCACCAACACGGGCAGCGGTAAGAAGATTCAGAGACTCAAGTCTCAAAGTACTTGTAGATGGATGTAACATAGGTCATCACACTCTGCCAGTCTGGTCTTTCTGTGTGTACCATCTCACCAATGTCCTGAGAGAAAAACAGAGAGACCACCCATCAATCAGAGAGAGAGAGGCAGAGAAAGAAAACTGAAAATGAAGAAAAGATAGAGAAGATGATGAAAGGAAAAGAAGAAAGAAAGTAGAAGATTAAAATGTTTTAAATAAAAGGGAGATAGGAATAGTGAGAGAGAAGGAAGAAAGAATGAAAAGGAAAACAACAGGCAGAGAGGGAGGTAGAAAAAGAGAACAGCGCGTAAATGAAAAGAGGTGAAGCAAGAAGTAAGAAAAATAAGATAAACGTAAAAATGAAAGATTAAAAATGAAAGTAAAAAAATTAATAAAAGAGAGAGAAAAAAAGAAATGAAGAATAAGTGAAAAAAAAACGAGGGTTTTGATAGCAACCACAAATATACCGGAAATTTTACCCAAGCACTTCCTTTTAAACCTTATAATAGTCAGACTATAGTTCTCTCTGGTAACATTAGTGTAATGAGAGTGATAAACTGCTGCTTTTCAAGAGGGTAAAATCATGTTTGTTCTCCAAATCGTTAAATAAAATGATGTTTGCCTGGCACATCATTAGTCTCTCCCCGTTATTAGGTGTTGTATGTAATGAGGTAATAAAGCCAGACCACATACTCTTAGACGCAATTAAGGTGTTTGCCGTGAACTCACCAGTGTAGACTTAATTCCCACACTCTCTGCTGCCTGGAATGCCAATGTAAAATTTCGCCTCTGGAGGAAAAAAAAGAGAATTATGTGAAAAGGGCATCTTAAAGCATGCAAGCGTGAAAAAAAACAAAGCATTATTTGAGATGGTGTGTTCCATGTGCGTGCATAGAACAAGATATCAGACCTTGTCCTGGCTGTTGAGCTCTTGATATGGGATATGAGCAGGTAGATAAGTGTGGAGAACAGCACAGAAGGCCAAACCATCATTCCAGCTGCTGCTGAAATTGGTAATGTCTATGTTCTGAGGAAAAAAGGAAAAAAAACACAACACCTTTGTCAGATCATACAGAATCTGGCATGTAGTAGTGCTTATAGAGCTTCCACTGGAGCCTCTAATGCAATCACCCATTTCTATCTTCTCATGTCTGCTTGTTAGTGGCAAAGGTGGGCTGCTGTTTTGATAAGAATCACTTCCGCCAACTGTGGTTCATGAAATAATGGCTGCTATATAAGGTTTCTACTTTATTAAAATTCAGTTAAAACAAGTTGCTGATCCAAAACTAGTGTGACAGATTGGAAATAGATGTTAAATCATTAAACTGGGAGTATGGGAAGGGGATGGGCTGTGCTTCTGACTGTACAGAGTGGCTCTGAATGCCAGCTGACCTTCCCCTCCGTCTAACATGGAGTGTTTGCCCAACAGACACTTTTATCTTTGTCAACACACATCTCACACTCACTCTAACCCATATACAGCGGAAGCCAGCAGACAGCGGAGGCCATTTATGGCTCTGTTGTGACCAATGCAGCCAGAGCTTCAGTAGTCCAGTGCAATTAGTTAGCTGATAGCACTCACATGTCCATCAGGAACATCAGTGCAGTTCAGGTAAAGTGGAAGCCTCAGAGGGATACAGGCTTCCCCCACTATAAATCTTTCATCCTCTAATAGGTTTAACGATAATTACAGTATCATTATAGAGGATCAGTTTCAAAGGTCTTTATGACGCACCAAAACAAAACTAGACAATCTATAATACTGGAACAAACTGTATATTTGTAGCACTAATCATACTATTTACATTGTTTTGCAGTCTGTAAGCAGACGATGACAATTTTTGTCAGTTAGCTTCAAAATCTGAAATTTAAATTTCAGCATACTTTAAAGCAAGGGTGTCAAACTCAACCACTACAAGGGACATATTAAAAAATCTCAGCAAATCCATAGGCCAGCTGTGTTTTTACTTCATTTTTACTTAACATTTTGCAAATGACACGAATGAGCCATTGTTGCTTCAAAATATGCCAATATTGCAACAGCAAAATAGGCATTAAATACTTATTCAAAAATAATTCTAAATAAAAAAATTAATTTGGTTTAGGTATTTTTTTTAAACCGCCTATTTGCTTGAACTAGACACCAGGCATAAAAATTGTGTAAACGCTGACCCATAGATTGTTGCTGGGGAAAGGGGTCCCCATGCAGTGCATGAAGGGGATTGTAGTGCATCTCAGGGTGAACCGGGCTAATAAGAATAGAAAATTTAAATAATTTTGCTGGCCGAATAGGACTGTTCATGTGCCTGACTTGGCCCGCAGGCCTTGTGTTTGACACATGGGCTTTAAAACATAGAATATCAGCTTTAATATGAAGTATGTCGATATTGGGAGAATCACAGCCCTTTTTACACCTATTTTAGAGGACCATAAGTAAATAGACAAATAACAGAATCCTAAATTTTTCATGTCAGTAGCAGTCTCATGCAGCAAGAAATAAACGTCATTTAGAAAATTTGGCCAAACGTTGTGGGAATATAGACTTAGAGTGGGAATAAAAGTGACTGAAATTTGCAAAACAAACCAATGCTTCATGAAGGTGGAGCTCAAAGTACAGAGTAATGGTACACATGTCAACATTGGCTGTTGTTAGCCCAGGTCTGAAAAGTCCCCCCAAAAATCTCATTATGTATAGGACAAATAAACATCACCTCCTCCAAGAGAAAAAGAGTTCTGTTAGCCAACAACGACATTTTGCTAGAGTTATCGATTGTGCCCTGGACGGACTAGAGGAATTTGGAGGTGGGTCTCAGAGGCAGTGTATGCATGATGTCCAGCATCAAATAGTTAACAAGTGGAGTCCAGACATGTATTCTCGTTATGAGATCACATCTGGCCCTGTGAGACCAGTTCAGTGGTGCAAAATCTAATCTCTGTGACCCATAGGCAATCACCAGGTGGTAATGCTCTGGTAATGCTCTACCAAGCCTGTAATGCAGCCATTTAGAAATTTATATTCAAACTCCATTTCAGGAGAGGCCCAAATGATCAAGAACCACAGTTCTGTCTGTGAAAGACCAACAACGCTTATCAGATGTGCGAAAGAGGAGTGTAAATTGGCAGAGGCTGAGAGGCCACAGGAGCCTGCAGTGAAGCAGATGGTCATCAGAGAGGGTCAGGGCAGCAGGTGCCTAAAGGAGAGATGCAGAGCCACCATATCTCTCACATACAATATGATTACCACACCATTCACTCTGCGCACATTGGTACAAGCTACATTTACATGCAGTAGCTATTCTGTGCTCTCAGCACTCACAAAGGGGAAGTCCATGTATTTTTCAAAATTTCTGTATAATTAAATCATGGAGATGTAAACAAATTTATTCAGCATGGTTTGATATTAGGCGCTCTGTTTGAGAGAAACTTAGTGAGTCAGAATTGTTCACAGTAGTGGCAATAAGAATTAGACGTCTAAAACATTTAATGCCTTTAAAAACTCCCTCGCAGAAAGTTATGACACAAACTGGTTATGAATACGTCCCCAGATGCTGTGGTGTGTTTGATTTATGATGGCAGTGAGATACGGTTTTGGCCTAACATATATATTTTTTTGGCAGAGAGATACATACAGGGTGGTGTTGTAAGGCAAAAAAAGTCCACAAAACCTTTCCCACCAAACCATTTTGAAAACTCTGCTTACATCTCAATGATTGAATTATGTAGAAATGTTGAAGAAAATCAATGGAATCCCCCTTTTAAGTGATCAGAAATAAGGAGATGATTTGGCCAAAAGTTGAAACTATGCTTAAAAACAGTCAATCCCCTGTTGAATTGCTCAGTACAGATTGCCTCTGGAGCAACAATGTAAGGAGCTTCATGAAATGGGTTTCAATTGGCTGAGCTGAACAACTTTAAGGCAGCAGTTTGGAGAAGGTCCTTTCCTGTTCCAGCATGACTGTGCCTGTGTGCACAAAGCGAGGTCAGACATGGTTTGACAAGATTGGCGTGGAGAAAGTCCAGTGGCCTGCACAGAGCCCTGACCTCAATCCTACTGAACACCTTTAGAATGAAGGGGGTGGTCATCTCCATATTAATGCCCATGGTTTTGGAGTGGGACGTCAGACAAGCTCATACAGGATTGATAGCCAGTTGTCCACATACTTTTGAATATATAATGTATACATCTTTGCATGTTCGTTGATGCACACCGATTGGTTTCCAATGGGTTTGTATTTTCGGTAGCCCCATTTTGAAAAACATCACACAAAAATCCTACCGGTTGTTTAGAAGATCAGTCATGCCTGAACTAGGCAGTTCTTGGCCACATTAAGAGAACAGAATGCATTAGATAGGCTGAAGTCTGGCTTGTGAGACTAACATAGTCCTAACAGCATGCTTAAGTTACCACATACTTGCCACGAACTGTGTCAAATATTGTTCTCTATAAAAGCAGATAAAAGTATGGACATAATTCAGGTTTCAAGATGGTGCTACTACTGTTTTAGTTCTGTTTTATACTATGTTTTATAGTCATTCTGTGTGAGAAAGCACATAAGTAAGTTTATATGGGATTACTGAACAAATAGACACAGTGTGAGGCAAGAGTTTGATTATTTAGCATGACCTAAGCTGCATAGCTAACAGCAGGCATAAGCTGCCATCACCTGGTCTTGTAGCTCCAGTGTAAAACCAATGAAGACTTCAGACACCAAACGTGTCTTACGTGATCAACAACACCCAACCTGCCACAGTGGCAGTCACAGCACTGGAAAATCTGGCAGTGTTTCAGCAAGTTATCTTTCACTATGATAGGATGTGGTGTTTGTGTCACACAAAACGAAACTTCCTGCCCACCATATGACTGATATGCAAGGGGTTCATTAAGCCACCGATGCCCCCCTCCGCCTTGTGTGTCTGCACTCATTCGGCCATGTGTGTTCATACTCTGAGTGAACATGTAATGAAAAAAAATAAATAAATAAAAAAAGTATGTGTGTGATGTGTAAAAAAACAGGAAAAGCCTGGATGAGAGAGCCTCGGGGCTAATCGCAGTGAAAAGAGCACTGTTGCTGTTCAGTCCTCTCTGACTCACAGCACTCCAAAGTGTCCAGAGTACTTCTAATGAACGCATTAGGCCTACAGTGAAAAATGAGGTACAGGCACCACTAGCCATTACCATCCATCACACACATACACACACGCACAGACACACACACTTGCACACACACACACAGAGCGAGAGAGAATATACACTTCCATCATCAATCAGCTCAACCACAGTTGAATCAACCACAACAAAAGGAAAGAAACAGAAAAAGGAAAGTGTCCTTGCATGTCCTTGCATTGCAAGTAAAAAAGACAGAAACTTTAAATTGTGAATACTGAAACTGTTACAACAAGAGAGACAATAAAGTGTCACTGTAAATTTTCTCTGAACTGTATATATAAAGAAGCTCATCAATCTTAGGTGTTTTTTGTCTACTTCCGGCTTTAACTGGCCTGACCAGAGCAGTCCAGATCATGTGTACAAAGAGTATTATGCAAAAGTGCATCCTTCATTTATTTAATTTCCAGTCAAAACAGCCAAGTACAAGTTATGAATTTTTCGGCATCAGGGGAAAAAACAGCAGCAAAAACCAAACATAATATAAATTTTCCAGTATTTAATATGTCTACTCTTAGCCTTTATTACAGCTTCCACTCTTTTCAGTAGACTTGCTTTGAGTCGTTCAAAAAGATCTGCAGGGATATTTTTCTACCTCTAAAGTTCAGTCTTAGAAGTTGCTTGTATTTTCTGCTTAACAAGCCAAGTAATCCCAAACATTCAATGATACTGAGGTCTGGACTCTGAGGTGGTCAGTCCATTGTTCTGATGACACCAACAGCTTCTTTGTTTAAATTTCCTCTTTTTGTCTGGTTACTTTTCTCAGTAACAGTTTCCTGACTGTTACACATCCTTTCAGGAAAGATGGACAGAAACACCTGTGGATTTTTTAGATGTGAAGCAAGGGTGGAGCTTGATTTTCTCCTCTTTTTCTCTCAAAGATGAAAGCTTTAAAACCGGTTTATCTGATGGTAACAGTATTGATGGTCTACCAGGTCTTGCAAGGTTGTTACGAGTCTCATTTCCAGTGCATCTTTAAGTTCTTTCACCTTTTAATATTCTAATTCTTCTTGAATTTCTGGAAACTCCTGTTTTTTTCACTTATTTTTTGACTTTGCCATTTCCTTATGCAAGTGGATTATCTTGTATCATGGATCATCTTTTTGGAAATGTCTCCTGAACAATCAACGATGTGTACTTAATGTCAGTTTTGTCTGGAAATTAAATAAATGAAGGGCAGTCTCTGACTGCACAGTACTGTATCATGAAGAGGAAGCAGGAAAAATTCCCCACACCGTGGAGTCATAGTGATGGCACACTCATATCCAAAGTGTCTATGAGGAGTAAACAGTGCAAAAGCCCAGTGAGATGGGAAGGAAATAAAGACTCAATAAAACATTGGGCATGCCCAGAAATCAAATCTAATTAAGACAAAATCAACCATGAACGTTTATGAGCAGTTAATCAGAAATATTCCACAATGAAGTTTCTTTATTACAACTATTACATCACTACAACTAAGCAACATTTGATTCTGCTTCAAACATTATCTTAAACACTTCTGTAGTCTAAGACCACACTTAAGATTATTAATTGTTATATACAGTAAGCAAAGCTCCTACCTGATAACCTTCTGTCTTCTTCTGACACCACCTGAGAAGAGCATTCCTCTTGGATCCTCCATATTCTCTGGCTAGAGCAGACAATGGGTCCTTCCTCTCCTCTCTGAGGAAAAATACCATTGTTACCGTTGACAGAAGGGGTCTACACAAAATCCACGTTTCCTAACCCTGAAGCCAGATTTTAGCTAAATCATCCACAGGCATACCCACAGCTAGGCAAAGTGAAGCAGCAGTAAATTAGTATTCAACTGGCTTCATGGCTCTGGAATAGGAAAGTCAAATGTCTCAGTAAAATGGCAAGGGGAAGCGTTATGTTTCATTCAATCACAAAAAACAAGACAAGATCAAAACATGCATACTTGCAAAAGAAAATTTGTTCAAGTAAAGGCTTAAACATCTTCAAGGAGGCAAGTAAACACATTTGCATTGTGAGACAGAGAGCTGAGATGCTCTGTGTACTTGACCTAAATCAGTACTAGCAATATTGCCAAAAATGATCCTCAACTGTAGTGCAAAAATTAAATTATTCCTTATCGCATCCAGTACTTTGCTTTTTCTATCAATTCTCCACAAAGCAAGGCAAGCTTTCTTCTCACTGTTCGCGTTCTGTATGTTCTGGTTTGGACACTGCTCCTGAGTGCACATGTTGACGTTACGAGTATGTTGTCAGACACCTATGTGAACATTTGCATGTGACGGCCACACAAGTTTGCAAATTTGCAGGCGCAGAAGTATATTTATTTCATAGAAGTGCAAACACAAAATGTAAACAATGAAATACTGTGGACTGACGTTCAAGGAATGTTCTGAGTATGCAAGCCAGATTAACTGGACAGATTAATGAGCTGATCTGGACAGATTAATGATCTTCAAATCATCCTGTAAACTAACAAAAGCAGCAAAAATCCAGCATTACCAAACAAGGAGCACAGACTTTTATTCTCTTGATCTGCACTCCAATCAAATTGGTCTTCACACTGGTGAAAATATATTACTGCCAAGGGTCTGTCAGCACATATGACCGGCTTCCTGGCAGGACCTCAGTGAAAGACGAGAGAACATGACACACTTGCGTCACCTGATCATACAAATGGTATTCCCTCTCAGCACATAAGGAGCTCTGTGCTCCTATGGAGTGTGATTAATTCAGCCTGAGACTGAGGATGTGCGCTGGAGGCTACAGCTCATAATGAAAGGCTTCTAGGGCCGAGAGCCTGAGTGGAACCAAGGTCAAATTTCAGAGCAGGTGAAAGCTCTATGCATTATCACCGTGCAAGTGGCATGTCATTACTGTGCCCAGCAGGGGGGAGATTTCTGAGAATCCACATAGAGGGGAGTCTTCTGTAAAATCAGGAAGAAGCTTCTAGAAAGTTAAAGAGTGACAAGGGACTCTAACATGTGGAAAAGCTTAAAGGAAAATAGGTGTAATAAAAAAAATAATAAAATACAATAAATAATCAGTGCACACTTATAGACTTAAACAGAAATAAATATAAATAGAAAACAGGGATGCACAGATATAGAATTTCTGTGCTCACAACTTCATTGTATATTGATACCAATAACTACTTTAATTTTTTTTACATTTTAACACAAGTTCACATAATAAGTTATAAATTAAGTAAAATGTGCAATAAGACAAGATCAAATTCCAAAAATGCATAAATGATTTTACATGATAATGATTGCAAATGTCATTATTTATTTTTGCAGGCACTCTTTCCAGTCACTTACAAGTAGGCTTGTCACAATCATGAAATTTTAGCTGAAAATTAATTGTCATTTTAGTAAATGTGATTAACAATTTGATGTCTTTTTTTTTTACAACTATTATTGTACATGCCTAAAGTGGCCAAAATGGTTAATGAGCTCTTTTGCTTCCTAGTTGTTGATACCTAGGAGCTCCCTACTGACAGACACAGCTTTAGTTCAAATAAACAAACATTACTCGCACATCACGACTGCACTCTAAATGTGTTTAAGCACCAGTAAGAAATTAGAACCTCATAGTGCGTATAGACCCATAAGTACGTATAAATGCATTTTCTGCTTTCTTTAATTCACATGTATTTTCCTCAAGCCTATGAGATGAAAACACATCCAATTCATGTACTGTTTGTTGTGGTGTAAAACATAGGTTTGTGAAATCTAACAACTATGGAAAATAACTACAATCAGCTCAAATAACTGCAATTAAGCAATTATGTAACAATTATAACAGGCCACCTTACAAAGGTAGATGAAATTAATCTTGCCCAAAGATTTTAATTGGCATAGCAGTGCCAGTTCCTGCCTGGACAGATAATTGAAACTTCAATGTTCAATGTGTGGGGCGGTGTTATCCACCATGATCCATTTGGGTCAGCTGAAAAGACAGGAAATGCCCAGCACTAGTAACTACATGTGCAGGAGTTCTCTTGGAGAAAAAAAAATTTATTTATCTTGAACCCACTTCATTCCCCAGGTTTGGTCATTTATGTCTCCTCTGTCATGATGCTACAAAACTGGGAGGGAGAAGGCCAGCATGTCCTTCCTCAAAGTCATGCGAAGCACTGCATCTTTTTAAACTGCAACTGATGCAACATCATTGGACAGCTCAAGGCACTTGGAGAAGAACACTAACAGATAAAAAACACTCCTGTTAGCAAGTATCACGCAGAGTGATAAGGGGACGGGAGGGCCAGAGGACAATTATGCTCTTTTGGCCTCCCGGCTAGAGATGACTGAGGCATCACTGTGGATCAAACTCGCAATTGCCCAACAACAAGGCCAACACATAGAGCAGGATTATTCACCTAAAACTTGGAAAGGTCCAGTTACATCAAATTTCCTGCTTTCAGAGGTAAAGAAACTAACATAAATGAATGGTGATGACAGTTATCTTTAAATGCAGACCAATTAATTATTAGGCCAGGCAACTATTAAAATAAAATGACATCAAATATGCTTTGAAAAACTTTTAGAACCTAATGAGAAGTTTAAAATTGTATGGCCATTGTTTGTAAAATAAATAAATAAATAAACAAACAAGAAAAAATCTTTTAATGAAAATAACTGAACTAAATTTGTAGGTTAATTCAAAGTGACTTGTTTCACAGTGGTACTGACACTTAATGGCTCCAATTTTCAGAACAGATGAGACACAACGATTTGAATTGGAAAAGATGAGAAAACGTGCAGTTCTCTATTCATTTCTTTTTAAACACTTTGTTTTCATAGCCCTTAACAAGCCATGTTGTTGCTTCACTACTCAGACCAGAAATAATAAAATCACAGCTAAAATTCTACAAAATTTGTAGACTTCTTAACTTTCTGGCCTGATATCTGGCCCTGTTGTTTGTGTTCTGATGACCCAAAGTTGTTTTAAAAAATTCATGTCTTTGAATAAACTGCAACAAAGCACTGCCACAGAAGCCACGCTTGCTCATGTTCAGGTATGTTGCTAAAATATGTTTTTTTTTTTTCCATACATTAAATCGGCTTTGCTAAAGAATTTTTTTTCTAAGTGCTCGGTTTGCTCCGCTGAAAGACTTTGCTGAGTCCGCAGCCGTGCTGCGGTCCACCAGTTGACAACCCCTGGTTTAGACAGCTGCACTACTCACAAGAACCCCCTAATTCTAACAGTCCGTAATACTGACATGGGGCGAATCACAATAATTAATATAATTTACTACATATCATCTACTAATGGTTATATCAGGCACCGATCTCAAGTTTACCCCAACAGAAGGGTTCTTACCGTAGACGTCCACGTGTAGTGGGTGTGACTGAGGCTGTGGGGGAGGAGGAGTTTGAGGATAAAGAGAGCTGAGGGGAGGAAGATCCTAAAGTCATGATTGACGAGGGTGCTGATGAATCCGTAACTGACAGATCCCTCTTCAGCTCCTCACTGCTCCTACGAGAAACTAAGGCACAAAAGCATGTCATCAAAATTTTGTATCTTTTTGAGGGCCAAAGCTTCTCTTTCACTCACTCACTCTCTACCACACACACACCTGATATGGACTTGGTGGGGTCTATATTAGGCACTCTCTGGAGAGCAGAGCCAGGACGAGTTCCTGGAGAAGTTCGAAGCAGATGGTCTGCTGTGGAGTTACACACATGTATGCATAGACAGAAGCATGCACACAAACGCACACACACACACATCCAGAAACACAACCAAACGAAACACTCAGAGTGAAGTTAATGGAAAGTAAAACAGTGAATGGACTTGAGTAGAGCATTTGGTTATGACAGTTTCGCCTCTGTGTGTCTGATGATCTGGGATTTTTCAACCTTTCGTTTATTTGTGTGCCTGTAATGAAGCGGTTTCTGTTGTGGACTAATTAAGGGTGGTAAGAAAGTCACATGTATGTATGTATGTATGTATGTATGTATGTTTAAGGAACAGCTGGCCCAGTGCTCTGTCTGCTTCAGCCCTGAAAACACATCTTAGCTCTACACAGCTGGTTTAATCTGGCTTGAGGGGACGTGAGAGAAAGTTAATGAGGTGCTGTAAAATGCGGAAAGGCCAATCCTGCCTGTACCCACCTGGCATGCTCAGCTCTGTGTAGCTGGGTCTCTTATCCACCAGAGAGGAGAGGGGCTTGGGTGTGGTGACTGTGTGCCTCTGAAACACAAAGGAGGGAAACAAAACCCATCAAATAAGCATGTATGGTCAGCGCCGCTAACACCAGCATGCTTTTACAATATCCGGCACAGACATACACATGTGAATAATGCTGTTTTTCACTGTGAATGAATAATGGAGGCATGTCAAGGGATCAAACAGCTGATGATCATGACATGCATGTGATGAGGCCAAAACACTTCCCTGTTTAAAAAAATAACCTTGTGTGGTCAAATCATATAGCATTTAGTTAGTCACTGTAACACTCATAGTTATTTACATGTTCCTGGCATCAGAGCCCAAATCCCCTTTAAGAGAAAAGTGAAGATGACTTGTGCAGATTTACAGTACTGTGTAGAAGTCAAAAAACACTTTTCAGTTATTTAAAGCAGCACTTTGTAAGATTTTTTGTTAGAACTGAAAGTAGCATGACTGAGTCAGGAGGAAAAAAAAACACGCTAAAATATGATGTGCATGTACTGCTGCAAGTGACCTTGTAAAATCTGAAATAGTAATTTAAAGGTCAGAGGCATCGGGATCAGATTTCTCAGGATTTTCCAGTCCATGTCATACATCTTTACGTAATAACATCACACACAAAGTGGAAAAGAAAGTCTGGCATGATGTTTAGGTATCAAATGCAAAATCAACATTATAACGATAAAGATATACTGATAATAGCAGATAATTTACTTATATCCTCAAAAGACATGTCCTTCACCAAGTTTAGACTGAGTTTTCTTTAAATACTCTTTAAAACACACTCCCAATCATCATTCATCCACTCGTTGGGGTTCAGAGTGTACAAAATGTTCTTCTGCACACTGCAAGCAATTACACATTTCCACCAGAGGGGTCTCCAAATCCCCAAATCTTATATAGTGTAGCTTTAATATCCAGTCAAAACAACCATTAAGTACGTTATTCATTTTTCAGCATCATAAAAAAAACAGAACAGCAGAAAATATTTCATAGAAAATTACGCACAGCCACTAATAACTAAATATAATATAAATTTTCTTTTCAGTATTTACTGTGCCTACCCATTACAGCCTCCATTCTTTTCAGGAGACTTACTTTCAGCTTTTCAAAGAAACCTGCAGGGATATTTTTCCATATCTCCAAAGTCCAGACTTCAACATTCAGTGATGTTGAAGTCTGGGCTCTGGGGTGATGAGTCCTTTGTTCTGAGAACCCTGGCAGCTTCTTTGTTTGATCTACAAATGTTCTTTTGTCTATTTTCTGTTCTCAGTAACAGCTTCTTGACAACTACACATCCTTCAGATTCAGAGCTCTGTTGTCTTATAGTAAATGGATGGACAGAAACACCTGTTGATTTTTTTTTAGACCTGAAGCAAGAGTGGAGCTTGATTTTCTTCTCTCTCTCAAAGCTGAAAGATTTAAAACTCTTTACCTGAGCGTGGCAGTTTTGGAGGTCTGACAGGTTTTGCACAGTTGTTAGGGGTCCCAATTTCTCTGTATTGTTTTTTGAACACCAGTTCTGAAAAATGAATAACTTAATGGTTGTTTTGACTGGAAACTAAATAAACGAAAGGGTGAACTCTGGCTTTTGCACAGTTCTGTGTAATTGTGCAAGACTATAACTGGTATCGCTGATTTGCATTAATATCTTTGTAATGATATGAAACATTATGAGTTTTAAAGTGAGTTTGAGCTTTGCAAAGGAGCTGCATAAACAAAAGGTAATAATATTAAGGTTTACAGAAATATTCTTGGCATATTAAAATGTGAAACATTTAATGTGGTTTTACCACAATGTTTCATCCTCTAAAAGAGCCTAAAGGTTTCTGCGTTTTCCAAGCAACGGGAAGCCAAAGCCAGTAAACTCCCAGCCCTGTGGTGATCACCCATGCAAAAAACCCCCAACCAAAAATCACTAATGTTCTTGGTTCCAGTAACAGTCTATGTGACCACAGTGGTGTTAAGGGCACAATTTCCACAGTCACTCTTTTACAGAAAGAGAGAGTGCAGAACAGCATGACTCTCTTCATGAATCTTTAATGCCCCTCCAACAAAAATAATCACACTGTGAGTGAATAAGAAATTCAAAGCAAACAACTTCAGTTCTTCACTGAGACCACTGAAAGGAAATTGATCTCTAGGGCTGATGATCTGTTTAGTTTTTCCTTAACAAAATGAGCAAAAATAACTATCTCCCTTGTCTGCAGGAAAACATCCTGTTTTGGCATGATCTAGAGGACCCTTCGTATCACTCCTGAGAGAAATTCCGGAGGACATCCATGCAGTAGAGGTGGGAAGAAGGAAAGCCCCTCAATCTCTTCAGGCTTAACTGGGTCTGGTGTTCTCATTTGAAAGGTGCGGCACTGAATCCACAAAACCCTCTGAACAGAGCTTTGAAGTGAAGAATGCAGCCATCTGGTAAACTCATCAGAAGTGTGTTCTACATCTTTCAAACACAGACATGACTTGCAACGTGCTGATGTGGGTTAAGAGCGTTATTAACATTATTTGCCTAGCATTGCAGTGAAACAAAACTTTCTATCTCCATTTTGTTGTTTTTATTTTTTTTTCACCAATAAACCAATAGAAATAGTGCAAAATAACTTCGAATTAACTCTTGTTACATTATCTTGCATTGCAACTGAATTGCAGTTCTGCTTGTCCTGTAAAGCTACCTTTTTGGAGATACAAGGTTTTGTTCTGTCAGGGGCAAAATACATATTAACAGAACATATTCCAGTTATCATAGCTGTCATAACTAAACCTTCTACCTCTTAAAAAACTAACTTAATGGGAGAAGGAGAAGATGTTCTTAACTTTGTATTAATGTCTGTTAAAAGGTTCCATATCACATCACTTTTTTTTAAAAATAGTTTGATGTAGTATGTAAACATTAGGCTTTCAGAATCATTCACTCCCCAGTACATATGGTCCATATATGGAAATTAAAAGAGAAAACAGCCCATTTTGGCTCATTGTTTTTATGATGTCACAAAAAGCAGCATGTTTGCTTGCTCTGCCTCACCATTTACACTGAGGTTATAAGGAGTGTTTCAGCCTAGAGAGCTTTGAATATGCTACAACCCAGCGCAGCAAATCAGATGCATATATCAGTTCTAAAGGCAAAGTAACAAAAACATGACTGTTTTTGGTATTATTTAGGATCATTTCTATTGGTTCACTACTCATGAAATCATATACACACAGACACACACACACAGACACACACACAGACACATATAAAATTTGGAAAAGGAGCTACAAAGTTTTGCTACACCGATGGCACATATATGCATTTGTTATTTTCGATTGGTACCTGCATTGGAGACACCGCAGCAGCGGGCGGAGTTTTCAACGGGCTGGGGCTAAGGGGGGTTCTGGGAATGGCCGCAGCGACCACAGCTGGAACAGTGGCTGCTGGACTGCTTGGAATAGGACCTGCAACATCCACATACAGACACACGCTCACAACACTAATTACTAACACACAGAAAATTCAAATGAGGTCTTAAGTGAGTGTGAGGAGGTATGATTGACTCTGATTGCACCCAAGGACTTGTGTGTTTATGTGTACCTTGCGAGGCACTGTCAAAGCTCTTGATTAGGGTCTTGACAGTGGGAGAGGGCTCTGAGGAGGTGGAAGAGCGGCGACTCAGGCCCATTCCCTGCCTCAGAGCAGCCAGATCCCTCTCCACTGCATTCATGTAGTTATATACACGACCACGCTCTTCATCCTGCCTGAAAAACACAAAACATGCGTCACTGTACTGTAAAGCTCAAGTGTTTATCTCCATATGTTCCTCAACTGGGCATTTGTGCAGCAAGACTATGCTTCGTAAAATACATAAATGCACTGCGATTTTGGAACATTAGAATAGATTATAATTAACCAAAAAAACATGCGCATAATAAATTACAAACAAATATAATACAAAATTATTAAGGTTTATATGATTAAACCTGTTTTGGGCAAAATAAAATTCACTGACTAATCTTTTCACCTTGTGGCTTATTTTTTTTGCAATGCCATACACTGTCCACTAAGAGGCTTCTTACAGACAGAGGTGAGCCTTTCCAAATAATGTAAAATCAAAATTTACCACATGTGATCTTTAATCAAGTTTCAATCAGTGATCAGTGGAAATAGGATGCACGTGAGCTCAATTTAAAGTGTCATAGCAGTGGGTCTGAATATTTGAGTGAATATGATATAATAATAATACTTTAATAGTAAAGTATTTTTATTAGATCAATGGGCTCCAGCTCCCCTCGTGACCCAGGAGGAGAAGCGGCAAAAAAGTGTGTGTGTATTAGATCAATGAAAAAAATATATTATTTTATTGCTGGCTGTATCCTTCAAAGCAAAATGAGGGAAAAAGGGGGTCTAAATACTTCGAGCACCAAAATAATTGAATTATGGTGTAAATTTGAGATTGCATGATACACTGAATTATTTACTTTTATTTGGTGCCTTTCAGTGTTTACAGCTTTTCTAAAAGACAAATAAATTCCATGGAAAACAAACAAGTAAAAACAACCCTAATCCTTATAATTTGCCAACCAAACAGTGTCTTACTTTCTGCTTTTGAGCTCATCCAGCTCTTTGCTCATTTTTTCATTCTTGTCCTGGGCCTCTTGCAAGCGGCGCCGCAGGTCCCCAATCTCCTCCTGAGCCTCAGACTTAATGTCATTGGCAATGACCACAGCCGTTTGCAGATCAGCCTGGAACTGCCTCCACTCAGCAGATTCTTCCTGTAAGAAAAGACATGCCGATCACCTGCTTAATAACAGTCAGTGGATAATCAATGATGATTAATAAGGATGTCAAAGACAAAGCATCTCTAGATAAAATCAGATATATTAATAAACAGTCAATACCACATATGGAGAAAAGTATTACCCGCAGTTTACGGTGAAGGGTCTTGATCTCTTTTTCCATGTCATATTTCTGGTCATGAAGTTTTTTAATAGAATCTAAATGAAAGAGATGAAGACAGATGAAGATGACCAGGGAAAAGACCAGTAAAAAAAAAAATTTATTAAAAAAACCCTTGCCACAGCTTACTCTAAAAACAGCTCAATGGCACCTCTTTGTGGACAAATCCCTGCATAACAATGTGGTACTCAATTCAAAAGTAGGTAATAATTTGATCCAACAGAATGAGAAATAATTCATACAAATGGAAAAAAAACCTTTATCCCTGAAATGTTTTTACAACCCCATTTCCAAAAAAGTTTGGACGCTGTGCAAAATGTAAATAAAAACAAAATGCAATGATGTGCAAATAATTTAAACCCTATATTTAATTGAAAATAGTACAAAGACAACATATCAAATGTTTTTATTGTTTCTTAAAATATGCCAATTTTGAATTTGATATATGCCCATTTTGAATTTGATGCCAACAACACGTTCCAAAAAAGTTGGGACGGGGGCAACAAAAGGCTGCTAAAGTTGTGTAATACTAAAAAAAATAACTGGTGGTTGATCGGCAACAGGTCAATAACATGATTAGGTATAAGAGTCTTTCAGAAGTAAAGATGAGGAGGGGTTCACCACTCTGTGAAAGACTGCAAGATCAAATAGTGCAACAATTCAAGAATAACGTTTCTCAACGTGAAATAGCAAAGAACTTTTGCTTTTCATCATGTACTGTACTGTAATATCATTAAAAGATTCAGAGAATCTGGAGAAATCTCTGTAAGCAAGGGACAAGGCCAAAAACCAGTATTTGCTGGCTGTGATCACTGGGCTCTCAGGCGGCACCGCATTAAAAACAGACATGATTCTGTAGTGGAAATCACTGCATGGGCTCAGAAACACTTCTGAAAACCATTGTCTGAAAACAGTTCTGCGCTGTATCCATAAATGCAAGTTAAAACACAAAGAAGAAACCATATATAAACAGGATCCAGAAACGCTGCCACCTTCTCTGGGCCCAAGCTCATTTAAAATGGACTGAGGGGAAGTGGAAAAGTGTCCAGTGGTTTCAACATTTGAAATTCTTCTTGGAAATCATGGACACTGTGTCCTCTGGACTAAAGACCACTCAGCTTGTTATCAGTGCACAGTTCAAAAGCCAGTATTCATGATGGTGGGGGGGGGGCATTAGTGCACATGGCATGGGTGACGTGCACATCTGTGAAAGCACCATTAATGCTGGACGATATATACATGTTTTGGCAACATATGCTGCCATCCAGACGACGTCTTTTTCAGGGAAGGCCTTACTTATTTCATCAAGACAATGCCAAAGCATATTCTGCATGTATTACACCAGCATGGCTCCGTATTAAAAGAGTCTGGGTGCTAAACTGACCTGCCTGCAGTCCAGACCTGTCACCACTGAAAACATTTGTCCAACCTTTTATTATGAAATAAAAAATACGACAAAGGAGACCCCGAACTACTGAGCAGCTGAAATCCTATATCAAACCAGAACGGGAACACAGTGGTAAACATGTCCCTGTCCCAACTTTTTTGGAACGTGTTGTTGGCATCAAATTCAAAATGGGCATATATTTTTCAAAAAAACAATACAATTTCTCAGTTTCAACATTTGATGTTTTTTTTGGAAATGTTGAAAAAAAGGTTGTATTACTACTTTGCCCCAAAGACCAACTAAAAATTTCTGAAAATTCTGAAGAGCTTTGTCAGTTTAATAAGATGTCAAGGCATGCACTATATGGACAAAAGCACTGGGACACACCTCTTAATCATTGAATTCAGACGTTTCATTCAGTCCCATTGCCACAGGTGTATAAAATCAAGTAGCTAGCCATGCAGTCTGCCTTTACAAACATTTGTGAAAGAATGGGTTGTTCTAAAGAGCTCACTGAATTTGAGCGTGGTACTGTAATAGGGTGCCACCGTTGCAACAAATCAGTTTGTCAAACGTTTTTTCTCCTTGATATTCCACAATAAACTGTGAGTGGTGTTACTGAAAAGTGGAAGTGTTAAGGAACCACAACAAACTCAGCCACAAAGTTTCAGACCACGTAAAGTTACAGAGAATGGGGTCTGAGTGCTGAGGCGCATAGTGCATAAAAATCACCAACGCTCTGCTGACTCAATAACTGCAGAGTTGGACGAGACAACGTTACCTGCCTGACTGCACTGTGCCAATTGTAAAGTATCGTGCAAGAACGATAATGCCATGGGGTTATTTTTCAGGGGTTGGCCTAGGCACCTTAGTTTCAGTGAACGGAATCTAAATGTTTCAGCAGACCAAGACATTTTGGACAATTGCATGCTTCCAACTTTGTGGGAACAGTTTGGGGAAGGCCCTTTTCTGTTCCAGCATGATTGAGCCCCAGTGCACAAAGCAAGGTCCATAAAGTGATGCTTGGGTGAGTTTAGTGTGGAAGAACTTGACTGGCCTTCACAGAGCCCTGACCTCAACCCCATCAAACACCTTTGGGATGAACTAAAACAGAGATTGCGAGCCAGGCCCTCTCGTCCAACATCAGTGCCTGACCTCACAAATGCTCCTGTGGATGAACAGGAAAAAACTTCCACAGACAAAATCTTGTAGAAAGCTTTCCAGAAGAGTGGAAGCTGTTACAGCTACAAAGAGGGGGAATAACTACATATTAATGCCTATGGATTTAGAATGGGATGTTATAAAAGCTCCTGTAAATGTAATGTGTAGGTGTCTCAATACCTTTGTCCATATAGTGTAATAGTGCAGATTTTTTTTTTTTGTGTGACTCACTCTCCAGGTCTGAGATGATGAGGTTGTCATGAAGTTTGACAGCTCGATGCTGCTCCACCTCATCCTCCAGCTCAAAGATGGTCTCCTTCATGTCGGCGATCTCAGTGTCTTTCTCCTCCAGTTCAGAGCACTGCTGTGCCAAAACCCGCTTCTGCTCAGCCAGCTGTTTCTGCACCTCATCCCGGAACTCCTGGAAATCTCCCTCCAGCTACAACACAAACGTACAAACACACATGTCTATTGCTGGACTGATCAAACTGTTTCTTTAATCTCTGAAGACTTAGAAATCAACAGGCTCAGAAATAGATTTGTTCTTAAAAGAAACAGTAGGTAGTAAGTATGGACAAACTTTAAGCTTCAAGATGGTGGCTATTTGCCATATGTAAACATAAAAGAAATAGCCAACTTTCATTTATTTAATTCCCAGTCAAATTTAATTTCCTGTCAATAGTTAAATGTTACAAGTTGCAGTTTCTGCTTCTCACGATTCAAGTAATCCCAAACACATTCAGAGATGTTGAGGTCTGGACTCAGAACACCAGCAGCTTTTATGTTTGATTTTTTTTTCTTTTTTGTCTGTCTTTAGTAACTGCTTCTTCACAGCTACACATCCTTTCAGACCCACAGTGCTGAGATGTCTTCTCATAGTGGAAGGATGGACAGAAGTACTTGTGGATTTTTCAGATCTAAAGCAAGAGTGAAACTTTTATCTCCAAACTTTTTATCTCCAAAGATAAAAGCTTTAAGTACTGTTTATCTGATGCTGACAGTTTTGGTGATCAACAAGGTGTTCTTTCTCTTTTAATGATTTTTTTAACTCCAATTTTGGAAAAATCCTGTTTTTCCTTTCCTTTCCCTTTCTTTATGTCTGCTGTCTGATATCCTAAGAAATAACTCCTAAAAAACAAATAACATGGTGGCCGTTTTGACTGGAAATTAAATAAATGAAGGGCAGTCTCTGAATTTTGCACAGAACTGTACTCTTTTGTTCATTTGCTTTGATAACAATATGTCATACAGGGTTAAGAACTAGAGAAGCAAAAATACCTGTGATTACTAAACTTGATGCAGTTTGGATAATGCTTATTGATGGGATATAATCTTACTTGTTTGCTACAATAGCTCCAGAGCTCCACTGCAAAATTAAAAGAAGCAAACTTCAGACACAGAGTATGTCTTGGCTGGTTGACTATATTTAGGGGAAGTCTAAAATTGTGCAAATCTGATTTTTTTTCCCTAATTATTCCTTTAAGAAACAAGAAGCCAAAGCATTTTATTTAATCTGGAAAAAACAAACAAAACACAAAATTATACAATGTGTTACGCAACTGTATGTGTGCGCTTTCTCACCTTACTAATTGCGTCCTGCAGCTGGGCAGCCTCTTCACGCGTGTGCCTCAGCTCCTCCTGCAGCTCTGCTGCTTTAGCCTCAGCACGCTCCTTGTCCAACCTCTCGCTGTCCAGCAGATGGCGTATGTCAGTCTTATCACCGGCATTGTGGATGGAGAGGAGCTGGGCCACCCTCTCCCTCTCCTGCTCCAACTGAAGTCTGCAGCGGTCAAGCTCGATCTGCTCCTCCTCAGCATGTAGTCTGAGGGCCTGCAGCTGCACAGCAGCGGCATCGCGCTCTCGTCGCTCCAGCTCAGCTGTCCTCTCGGCCAGGCGCACACGGTCCTTCAGGGCGGCTGCCAGACCGTGCGCCTCAGCGTTCTCCTGTTCGGCCATCTTCAGTGCACCGCTCAGCTGCTGCTGCACTCCCAGCAGTTGTTCCCTCTCAAAGCGCGCATTCTCGTTCAGCTCAGCGTAACGCCTTTCCAGCTCCACATAGCGTCCACTCTTGGTGTCCTCATCTTCCTCATCCTTGGCGTAGGCCACACGGTGCTCGTCCAGCAGGCCACGGAAGTAGTCCAGTTGGCGGCCATAGAGCTCCAGGCGTTCAGCCTGCTGCCTCAGTGAGTCCAGCAGCACAGCACGCTCCTCACCCAGTCGCTCATTCTCAGCGCTTAGCTCCTGCGCGATCTGCTGCAAGTCGGCCAGCTCCTGCAGCGTGGCCTGCAGCTCCTCTGCCGTGCTGTGCTGGTTCTCTTCCATCTGGTGGATGCGCTCCGTTAGGCAGGCCACAGACACCTCACTGGCGTTCCCGCTGCTGCCCCTCCGCTCTCGGCCTGGAGAGGAGCCACCGCCCTCTGACTCAGATGAGGAGCCACAGCCTGAGGGCGCATCCAGGGCATCATCGCTGGAGGTGACCGGCTGGTAGGCCTCACTGTAGGCCTGGGAAATGAAAAGATAACAATAATCATCAAAAACTTTTTTCCTTAAAATGAACTGCGTTTTATTTTATTGATGACATTATGACTTTCTGTGCCCCAATCCAGAATTAAAAGTAAAAAGTGTGAGCTTTGAAAAAAATACTACTTTGGTAAACTAAGTGGTGATGTGAGCCTTTTACTTGCTAGAAGCAGAGAGAGGTCTAGCCTTTCACTCATAACTGCACAAAGCAGCACAATATACGGCAGTAGCTGCCTCTCTTACGATCTGCTTCTAATAGCTCTTTCAGGTTGACATGTTCTGATATGTATTTGGATTATACCTAAAAAGTTATTCAATATATCAAGCTGTACTGTGTGAATTTTGGAGATTCGGAGGCGTCTCTCGTGCGGAAGAATGTGCGGAAGAACCCATCGTACACATCAGCTGTGCTTTAGTTCCTTTCCCTGGGCAGATGAATTTGACATTTGTGAGCATGTTAAAAGCGTATTCAAAGATAGCTGAATACTTTACTATATTAGAATCATCTACTATTGTCATCAAATCTTCATCAGTACAATGTAGATTTTGCATTTGAGATCTAACCATTGAGCCGAACGTTTTTTTTGAGCCTGTGTGTGTAATGTTAAAGCATAAAAGCATATGACATGGTCCGAAAAACTCATGAAAAATCTGGCATCACACTTTTAAGTTACTATTTCAGCTTTTACAAGGCGAATCGAAGCTTACGTAGTGCTGCTTTAAAATAAAATTAGTTGTTTGTAGATGACAGCTAGCTAACTGTCTAACTTTAAACAAACACGCCTTAGCAGTAACTTAATGTTAGTTACATAATTTCACTACCTACCTATTATTTAGTTATTTGGTGAATCATTGAAATGCGTCCAACATGACTACTGCAGTCTTTTTTTTTTATTTCATGACAAACATTATTGATTCACGCCAGTGTTTTAATAGGAGATGACCCAGGAGGATAAGCGGTGGCTATTTGCAGTAGCTATGCTAGCTAGTCAACTGCAAGGTAAATAATGTTATCTAATATCAGTAAGCCAATTATCAAAATCACAAAAAAAATAAATAAATAAAACATAGACCCCTGACGTAAGTTTTATGTAGTAAATTAAGATAATTTCTGCAAATAAACTCTCATATATGAATATTCTAATAATCATTTAACCATTCAACTTTCTTTTGTGCATGTGCTGAGGGGAAGTGAGACTGGGGGAATTGACCAAGAGAGTTGTGAGACTTATTCAACCAGCACAAAATTTGCTAGCTAACCATTTTCAGTGCTGCAAATATAGAGAGCAAAAATGCGGGTTTGAGGAAAATGTTTCAAAACAAGTCATCCTCTGAATGGTTTGGGCTTTCTAAAATCAGATGTTATGCACAGTACCAAAACAAGCCAAGTAAGAATTTTCGATAATCATCAATACAGAAGATATCAGGGATAAGATTTTCCTGGCCATGGCACCCCAGATCTTACCTCACTGCACTCGCTGTCCACAGCTTCGGGTGAGCCAACACGTCTCGCCTCAGACAGAAGGTCTTCCGTGGAACCTCCAGCAGATCCTTCTGCTGAAGATGCCCGAGTTCCTCCCCCGCCACCACTGCTGCCGCTGCCCCCTCCACCAGCTGCCGGCTCTGGACTGAGAGAGACGCCGCGTGGGCCTTTATCTGGGCTGTCCAGCCTCTGCTCCAGTGAGAAGCCCAGCGCGTTGAGGCGGTCTTTAAGCATGCGGTTCTCACTCTTCAGCAGGTTCAGCTCCCCCCGAATGCCCTGGTTCTGGTCCTGCAGAAGCAGGAGGGTGGACTCCACATCAGCTGCGCTGATCCCACAGACAGTTTCCTTCTCCTGGGGCTGCTGTTCAGCCTGGCTCTCCGCCTCAGGGGCATCTTGCTCTTCCTGCACTTCCAGACCCAGCTGAGCCCTCATCCCGCGCAGCGCTGAACGCAAATGCATGATTTCCAGGTCTTTGCTCTTGGCCAGGCCCAGCAGGTCCTTCACTCTGGACTCCAGCACTGCTTTGTTGCTGATCTGCCTGTCGTAGCGGGACTTGCTAGCTTGAGTTTCCGCCTCAGTTGAAGTGCGGCAGCGAGACCGCTTTGGAGGCATCGAGTCGGAGGGTCCAGACAGCTTCTTAGCAGTACCGGTCCTGGAGCGCAAACTTTCTCGGGTCACTCCAGGCTCCTTAGTTGCAGAAGATGTCCCGCGCCTTCCTGATAAACCTACAAGGCAGACAAATCAATGATTAACCCTCATTCATCACCATCCAATCAACAATCATTCATCATCTTCACGCTGTGCCAAAACTACTTTTCATTATTTTATTATTTAGTCTTTTGCACAAACTGATCTTTGTACAAAGTTTAAAGGGAAACAGCCAGAAGCAGTCTATCAGTTCATATCATGCTCATTCTGAAGCGCGGAGTCATTGCTGGCACCTGAATTGGTCTTGGCCTTAGCTTCTGTGTTGCTCTGAGTGGAGGTGGTGCTCCTCTTGCTCTTGGCTGCAACGCTGCCACCTGCCGCAGATCCTCCACTGCCTGCACTCACTGCTGGGAGATCATCATTGCTCTTCGTCTGGAAACCATATGGTACATTTTAAGGTTAGTATGTAGATAAGGATGCATATGTGCACTTAAAGCTTGGTTCCGGGGGACAGAACCTTCCAGCTTTGTTATGTTATTTGCAATGTTAAACCCCGCAAACACGAATCCATATTAGTCATTAAAAGCTTTTTTCACAGTAACGCTATTCTACTAAGACACATAAAATGAACATAATGACCGCACCAATTGTATGCATTAGAAACAACTAGAGGACAGGGGTTCACCTTAGACAGAAGGGCTGAGTTTGTGGACTTGGCTGTGGCCTTGCCTCCAGTGCCCATAGCGCTGGTGGCCTCAGGCTTGCCCTGGGCTTTATTGCCAGCCGTTGTTCTGGTGGAGGCGCCCGTGGCCCTGCTCGCCTTTTTCATACTGGGCTCCAAGTTTCTGATACATTTACGATGCAATCTGTAAAACACATGAAAAACACAGAGCAAAACAAAGCTACTTAATCTGAATAACAGTCCATAATATCAAAAGACAACAAAACGTCCCTATTACCTAATGCCAGAAGTTGCCGTTTTCTTTGGAGAACACATGGCCTGTTAAACACTGTGCTTTTGCTAAGAGACAGTTGTAATGTACCATTACAGTCCCCCTGGGCCCTATTTATGCAGGCACACAGTTCGGAAGGAAACGTCACTGGACAGCTTTTTGAACAGACACATAGAGTGTGATTGGAGGACAGGCAGGGAGGCTGGAGCTGCCTTTCTTATCACATCATCATGGGTGGAGGCGAAGACTGTTACTGGGGCTGACCTGGACTGTGGTTGGCCTTAAAAGGCTTTAGGAGGTCTGAGCAGGCTTCCCAGCCTGAAGAGATCAGCCAGCACGAGAGAGAGAGGAGAGAGAGAGACTCCACAGCGTATCCCATTGACTACAGCTCACTGAAATTTTTTTTAACACTGTTTTGAAAAATGCACATGCGTGTGTATTCTTATTCTGACACATACTGAAGGAAAAACAGGAGAAAAACTAGTCTTCCTAGTTAATTCCAGCATCCCCTGATGGCTTTGGCAGCAATGTCTGCTGCCAAAGTTTTGCTGTAGTACTGTAATAATACTATTAAAGAAAAAAAACATCTTTTGTGTTTTGTTGATTAGCTTAGCAGTTCTCGTCTGTTATAAACAGATGCTACGTTGCTAAGTCTGTTGCTACTTCAAGTAAATTCCTGGCCAGATGTTTGCAACATGATTACACACAATGTCTGTGGAGCGCACATAAGAACACAGCATTGTGGACCACAAATAATCTAGACAGCAGCTATTTCGGCTAAAGTTAAATTTTAGCAGATTTTACAACAAGCCAACGCTAATCTTGAGACACACAAAGTAATGAAGTTCGCTGTTAGTTTCATGTTTTGCACTCCAACCAAGTATTGTATAGTGCATACTGCCTATATACAGTCTGTAGTAGGATGTTCCATACATGCATCCACTCTCTATTTTAGCTTGAAATGAAAAGTCCCCTCCTCATATGCAACGCAGAAAGGAGAAGGGGAGGTGAGAATACTGTATATTACCCAACATTCATTGCTGTGAAAAAGTATATACCCTTCACCTGATTTCTTCTAATTTTGCTAAAGTGTTACATATATAAGATGAGTAAACACTTAATGCATCTTTTAATTGATCATTCCATTTATTGAAGATAGCAATTTATTCAAAACCTATATCACCCAAGTGAAAAAGTAATTGCCCCCCAAACCTGATAACTAGTTGTGCCACCTTTGGCAGTAACAACTGCAATCAAACGTTTGTGCTAACTTGCGATGAGTCGATGAGTTATGCCAGATGTAACAGGACCCATGTCTTCCAAAAAGTTCCACCTTTGGCTCATCAGTCCACAGAATAGTCTTGGGGGTCGTCTAGATGTTTTTGGCAAATGTGAGGCGAACCTTTGTGTTCTTTTTTTGTCGCCAGTGGTTTGCGCCTTGCAGCTCTCCCATGAATACCATTTTCGCACAGTGTCTTTCTTATTGTGGAACCACGTACATTGACCTTAACTGAGGCAAGTGAAGCTTGCAGTTCTTTAGTTGTTCATCTGGGTTCTTCTGTGACCTCCTAGAAAACTGGTCGATGCGCTCTTGGTGAAATTTTGGTAGGCCAGCCACTCCTGGGAAATTTCAACACTGTTTCAAGTTTTCTCCATTTGTGGATAATGGCTCTCACTGCGGGACGTCCACACTGCACTGTTTGGTCAGATGCTACTGTTGGTAGGGCATACCTAAAACATGTGCTCCAAGTCAAGTAAGCAACTACAATCAGTTCCACAGAAAAGCACCTTAAGGGGGTGGGAGAGGTCTGAAGTGAATAAAATGCTGTGATACTGCTGTGGGAGAAACTGCTCTAGTCCCTTTCTCAGATTGGATCACACACTAAGGACTGCAGCTCTACCTCTGTACCTGCAAACTAGCTAATTATCTTTGTTTCAGAGACATCAGAGGCAGCATTTTCAACCTACTGTAATGTGTTACTGACTGGGCGCCCCGCTTGTGTGCTCACCAGGAAAAGAAAGTCTTATTGCTCTGGTTTTATTCAGTTTACACTGGCTTCCCGAACAAGTTCTGCATTGACTACAAGGTCTTGCTTGTATTTAGAATATTTAAACTGTGTAATGGCCTAGCTCTGGTATATCTTGATCTTTTAAAGCACTGTAGCCAGTCTTGACCAATTCTCTGACCTGAGGCAGGCTTACTGAAAACTTCTAGGATCATTGGCAGAAGATTTTATTACATAGCTTCTGAACCCTGGAATAGTGTTCTATTAATAGTAATAATAATAATAATAATAATAATAATAATAATGCAAGTGTTTTTAAATCCAGATTTGAAATATGTGACTTGCCTAACACACATTCAAAACTACAGCCGTTACACCAGGGGTGGAGGACTTCAATACTGGGGGGCCAGATTTCTGCAATTTGGTGAGTTTACTGCTCAAACACACCAGATTCAACTAATCAAGGTTTAGTGGTTGTGTTAGAGAAGGGAAATCACCAAACATGCATAAAGTTACATATGATCAGAAGGGACTAACACAACTAGGAATTTGGCCAATGAATAATGTTGCACTGATAAGTTATTATACTGTGCCTAGGCCAAGTTAACTAGCAAGTAATGCAGCAGCAAGTGCTTTTATTATTTTACATGTAAGCCCTGCCTGGCAGCTCAGACAATCAGTGACAACACTGAGAGGAACAACTGTGTTGACGAGTTTCTTTCCACAGCTTTCCACAGTTTCACTTTTGTAAAATTGTGGAACTTTTATAAAGACACAGACCTTCCTTATTAAAGACACAAGTGTAATTTTATACTTTTTAAAATGCTAGCTACTTAATAGCTAGTCAGGCATGACTAAGACCCAATCCCATTTCACCCCTTGCCCCTACCACTTAGCCCATACGCCTCTGTTTTGTGTGTTCATGCCTTTGGGGTAGGGTGTCCCGATTTCTGTTGAGATAGAGGGGTAGGGCGAAGGGTTAGGGCTACACGGCCCTCCAAACAGAGGTTCAGAGGCACACTCCAAAGAGAGTGTTGAGAAAAAAAGAAAACATGGTAAGATGGCTGTGCGAGCGACCAAAGAAACCAACAAATTTGAGTATTTTCTCCGTTAAAAAATTACGATAACTATTGTCTTAGTTCATTGTCGCTTCAATGTGTTATGGTCCTTTTCTTCACAAAAAGCATAAAAAAAACTCGCCAGTACTATGCAGACGTCTCGGTAGCTAGGTAGTTAAATGCCCCATTCCACCTTAAATGGTTACAGTTACATTCCACCTTAAGTGGTTACAGGTACATTCTGGCGCCTCAGGTGCCAGAACTGCTGCATCATTTACGGTGGAACGGGAAAATTCAAACAAGAAGCTGGCGAATACCTGACTTCAGCTTCATATTACCAAACAATTAGGGGTGGGCGATAATAAATAATAGTCTCACCCCCCCCTCTGAAGGCATATGATGCCCTATATTTAACCAGCAGTGAGGCTGCTGAATTTACCCTCCTCTGCTATTGCTGCAGACTGGCAGGGTCGCCCACAGAGCACCGATAGTAGTGTGTTAATGAAATAATGTTCTTTTTATTTGAGGGTTGTCCCATTTCATAGGGGAAGATTTCAACCACTTCCCCTTTTAAACTCTAAGTTTTAAGGGGCAAGGTGACACTCGAAAACAAGGAAATGGGATTGGGCCTAAAGAGACACAAGTTTGCATGGTCCTCTAGCAAATGGAAAGCTGACAAAGAATCTGCCCTAATTCTGATTGGTACAAAGAAAAATCTGATGTCAGATTTAACTGCATGTTTAATTACAAAAAGATCGTAATTAGTCTTTTTTTATGTGGCACCACTTTGTCTGTTCCAACTTTACAGATGTCAGAAAAAATATATATTGTGACATTCTGTGCATCATAAAAACATCCTGAAGTATCCTGACATTAATTGAGTATCCTCAATTAACATGACTAACACTGTTCTGTATTTGTCAATATTAAATTCACACAGGACCTCATAGTTGAAAGCATAACAAAATTACCGAAATAAGGTGACAGTAGAGTAATATTGCACCACAATGCATAAACAATACGCATCATAATATTTTGTCTTTCAAACGTTGGATAAGTTGGAACATACAAACAAAAACCAGTAGTGCCACATTTAAAAAAATAGTCAAAAACTATGAATACAATATTTTATTCAGTGTTTTACATACTGACCTGCACTTAAACCATTTAAACAGGACTAATTATGCAATGAAACATGCAGCTGGTCAATGTTCTTTAAGTACTGACGATATCCACAATACCCATGCTCAAAAAAAGCATATAGTGTGAGATAATGTGACAGTTTGTGACAGGATAATGATAAATATCATTTTGTCCACCCCTAGCTGACAGCCCTTTAATCAACTTTTGAAAACAGAAGCATGACCATTAAAATAGCAACTCTTGATTACATTTGCTAGTATCCATGCACGATCAGGCAGCAGCCTGTTAAAACTACAACCACTCCACTGCACAAGTAACGTATTACCACAAATCCTTTCATCTGGAAAACTATTCTCATCACTGAAGTAACAAATTCTACACATTTATAATTTAATTCACAAATACTTTTGACTGAAGAATTCATTATATTAGGCCCTCTTCAATGTTCCTGTCTTAGCACTTTAAAATAACATCTATTTTCCAGCAAGATCTGCCATCATTGCTCCACAACTGCACAGAATGAAACAGCTCCATGCAGCTTCAAAACACAAACACTTTGATGGGCAGAACACTAGGCAGGAGATTAAGGTCCACCAGCTCACCCAAACCACCCCTATGGTTTAGGCTCGTGCTCTTTGAAGCTGATCTGCTTGAACTGGAGACAAAACAACAAAATCACACACCCAGCAGCAGACTACAGCTCCTC